TTAAGAGGATATTAACAATGCTGTTGCTCACCAATATGTATTGGATTTGATATTTACTTCATCATTACTACAATAACATAATGTAGAATAAATCATTAATTGTAATATCAACGTTTTAGTCATCAAACTCATTATTGACTCTCCATTGACTCCACTGTCCTTTGTGCTTACAACAAAACACTGTGCCTCTACTGGCTACTGTCCTATCCAATACTCTCCATAATATACAAACTGACAGCCGCTCCTTACACCAGGAGGGCAACAGTTACCAAGACAACACCAAGTCACATGGCAACCCACACCGTCACCCAGGTGAACAACACATCCTGTCCTATAAATAACATCTCTGGGCTGGTTTTTGTTTTACTGTGTGTGGGGAGGGTGAGGAACACTCAGTTGAACAGAAAATTAGACTAAACTCACCTAAACAATCTTACAAACACATTCTCCATTTCAAAATGATGGCATGATATTGATGGCATGATATATTTTAATACCACAAAATCTAAGAATTACATGAAGATCAGCGGCAAACAAACGGGTGCACAGAATTTTAACCAACCATCCAGTGAATTCATGTAGGCCCTCAAGGACCACATTGCAAACTGGACTCACTAGACAGACGTTTGGTATTGCAAGGGGAAACTGTAAATTGTCTAGAGAGAGGGACTCTAGAGGGAGAAATTATCCAATAATGTTGTGAGCAAGACCAGCTAGTAATACTGTGATATATGAAACTGCTCAGAAGCAACATACATCACTGATACATATAAGATGCCTCACTGCTAGTGAAATCCCCACCATCACCATTTTTAACATTAATACAAAGCTAAATACAAAACATTCACAGATCCACATGTTCAATGTCTAACAGAGGCACTATAGTTCACTACCTGAACTCTCAACAAACTCACAATCATCTAACTCAATCTTCATAAACCTTCAAACTGTCCATGTATTGCCAAGAATCACTCTTCAGTGTTTGTGGGACAGAATGCCTGGCTGGCCTTAATGAGCTCACTCCTCCTTGACCGGGTGTCTCCTCTTCTCCTCCTCTTCCTCTGAGGAACGAGGGATGAGAGAAAAAAGTCTGGAGGAGTCCAGGACATTGTGTGTTTAAGTGTGTGTGTGTGGCCTACTCACCGTCATAATTGACTATGATGATGGCGAGCATGTAATCCTTCCCCAGCATGGTGAGAGGTGTTCCTTCCGTCCTGGCCCCTGGGTTAGCTGCAATTCATTCCAAGCGGCCAGGGACACACTCATATGCCAAGAGGATTAAAATCTTCACTCCACTCTCTATATCTGTCTGTGTCACTCTCTCCCCCCTCTCTCTCTCTCTCTCTCTCTCTGTGTATTGTGCTCAGTGGTGCCTGCAGCTTCTGCCACTCCCCCTCCTCTTTCCCCCCACCCCTTCCTTCTCTCTCTCTCTGTGCCTTAAGGATGGCTGGGCAGGAGGCAAAGAAAAGGTACTTTAAGGATAAGGGCGAAGTGCAGACCAGCAAACAGACACAAAATCATACTTTTCTAGAATATAGAATAAATACATTACTACCGGAACATGGAGGCCAATAAAATGGCAATAATACAGAAACCAAAACAAACACACTTTCTCAAACAGTTCATGCGACTGGTGTAGCCTATATCTAGTGTCTGTAGCGAGGGAGCTCTAATAGGATTTAATTCAATTTGAGATGGGATACACACACCTCTCTGTGTAAATGGGATGTCTCATGAAGATTAGTGACATAAATCTCTCCCACACAAAGAACCCGCATCTGTCATGGTCTACTGGAAAAATAAATATTTGAGAGGACAACATTGAGAGTGCTTTTTGATAGCAATGCCAGCAACATTTAATTTTTACAGAATACAGGAATGGCTACTGTAAATCTTCACTTTCCTAATGGTTGCATCTCTATGCTAAGGCATTGGGAGAAAGGGTGTTCTATAAACAGCCTCCCTTGACAGCAATTGCTGCAGCTTTTCTAAACCCATCTATTTTCCCTAGATGTAATGTTTTAGTGTAATTAAACTGATGGCTATTAATCTGGCAGTAAAGTGATCATTATCCCAGTCTCCACAAATCAACAGAGCAAAAATTAGGGGCCATGTTCTAGGTTGGCTCAGCAGGGCAATGTAAGGCAGAGAGATTGTATATGTCAGTCTGGCCAGTAGAATCTGATGAATGGATGAATTACATTTATTTTAAACTCCCTAGCTGCATATAGCCTAGCATAAATTGTACTGAGCATGATTATATGGAAAGTGAAAAACATGTATGACTGCCATTGGCACCACATGGTCTATAGTTCCATTCTACATTATTTCTATGGTCCACCTTAATCAGCATCCACCTCTTGAAGGGTCACACTATCCGTCATCGTCCAGCCAGCTTGCGTCATCCTTTTCTCACCTCCACTTGGGTTGCCGTGACAACCACCTCCCAGCTCGCGCGTAGCATGAACGCCTTGATGGCACATGATGAGGAGAGAGCGCGCGCTGCGCGGTCATTCTATGCAGGTGATACAAAGTTTGCCTGACGACAAAACTGAATTATTCCTCTGCTCTATGTTCGCTCAGAGATACTTTTGAGGAGATGGGAAACTCCATTGGAATTGCATTAACGCCATTGTGTACTTGCCCATGCGTCGTCAATGGGCGATTCTGGGACAAGAAGAGCACTCCTTCAAGGAGTGAATTGGAGTCTATTGGGTGCTAGCTCAAAAACCCAACATTAGCATGAATAGAGCACCACAGTATGAGTCATAATAACCATAAAACCTAGGGATCAGACAGCGAAATGGTTCCAATCGTTTTTCCACCATTATTTTTTCCCATAGGGGATTTTAGAAACACTTAAAATAAGGGCTGTGTTTCGTGTAATTTACCCTGACGTGACATTTTGATAACCTTGTAAATCTCTTTAGGACAAGGTAACTTTTATCAATATATTTCCCTTTATTTACCGCCAACAAATGAAATGCTAATTAGTTGCTAATGTGGCTATCATATAGAACTACAAATGCCATGAGGATCTGGAGGAGACTGATAAATCGAGGCAAAGGTAAGAATCTCTGGATTAACTATCTAATGTTAGCTAAATGTTGTAATGAATGAATTGGTTAGATTTTTTAAAATTGACAATTCTGTGAAATTGACACAATTCCTGTTAGCAAAGGTGTCAGCTAGCGATGACGTGCAGGAGCTTGCGAGATTTGTAGTTTTGCATGATGTCTACTTTGATGCTAATTAGCATTTTCGAATCTGACAAGTAAATAGAGATGAATATATTGATAAAAGTCACCTTGTCCAAGAGAGATTTACATGGTTATCGAAAACATCATGGCAGGGGTAAGCCTACACGAAACACAGACCTTTGACCGCTATGTTTTATGGGTACTATGACACCTCCACTGTGGGGCTCTATTTTGTGAACAAGAAGTACAACATTACAAATCTTTTCAGAGATGTGAGATAATCACCTTGTTCTCTGTAATATCGTATAGCTTTGGAATCGTGCCATTACACATTCTTTCGAGGAGGTTTCTAGACTCATATGCTGTGTTCAAAACAACTGGGAACTCGGAAATCTCAGACTTCCGACTTCAGGGGCGGCAGGTAGCTTAGTGGTTACGAGCGTTGTGCCAGTAACCGAAAGGTCGCTGGTTCTAATCCCCGAGCCGACTAGGTGAAAAATCTGTCTGTGCCCTTGAGCAAGGCACTTAACCCTAATTGCTCATGTAAGTTGCTCTGGATAAGAGCGTCTGCTAAATGACTAAAATGTAAATGCTTTCAAGACAACTGGGAACTTGAAAAAAAACTAGCTCCGACTGAGAAATCTTTTTGAATGGTCATTCAACTCGGAATTCCATGTCGGAAACTCAGTTATCTTTCTAGAGCTCCGACTTTCTGACCTGAAGATCATCAATCCATTTCTCTTGAAAGCACCAATGCCCTGACTTTCGGTGCTTTCAAGACAACTGAGAACTCTGAAAAATATGAGGTCAAATAAGGACGTCAGTGATCTTCAGGTCAGAAAGTCTGAGCTCTAGAAAGAGGCCAGAGTTCCTGAGTTGGATGACTGTTGAAAATATTTTTCCCAGTTGGAGCTCGTTTTTTTCCCAGTTCCTAGTTGTCTTGAAAGCCCTGATGTCAGAAGTCGGAGATTTCCGAGCTCCCAGTTGTTTTGAACGCTGCATTTGAGAATGGATTGGGTGACGATTGGCTTAGCAACCGCTTGACGCAGCATGACAACTTGAACGCGATTGGTCAACAGTCTGCTAGGTGTGGCGTTATACGTTTCCCCATTCATTGCACAATGGGATTACTATCTCCTCCTTTCTCTTATATCTCTGGTTGGCTACATACTTCATTGATAAGACGAAACTAACGTCAGTGAACGTGGCTTTGCGTTTGGCCGGAGCAAGGAGTTGCGTAGCCAGGCAAATACAAATTTGCCCTCGTTTCAAAAAAGTCTGTCCAACTCCGAAAATTATTAATGGTTTCAAATTAGTTGATTTGTACTAATAATAAAACATGCCGGGCATGTCCTGTTACCTGTGCACATGCAATGGCCTCAATGTCATATAAAGATAGCTAGATCTAAAACATTGACACATCGTGACAATAATGCAACACCGATGTAGCAAGTAAGCAGAGTAAAAACATTCGGCACTGATTTCAGTCACACGTCTTCCAGAATCACGGCATTCTGATGGGATGTTTTAGTGCCTCTTAGCATGGCAATTCAGAAAGCTTATTGAGGACCTTGATGAATGTGTTTGTTTTTTATGTCCTCGTCTTCTTTCTGCTTGCATTTGGTAATTTCTGTAATTCAGGGCTCATTTGTAAAATAGACCTTGGACTCAGTATGACTCTCTGATAAAATAAAGGTTAAATAAAAATAAAATCAATAACAAAATGCCTTCGAGCAGGAAAGAAAATCGAGTCCAGTCATAAGTCTGTGGCACAGACTGAAGGAGCATTGATTTGAAGACATGGCGGACGACAAGGTTAGTGCCGTAAATTGGGGAGTTAAAATCTGGGCTTTTATTCGCAGTTGTAGCACTTGTTTATTAACGTTAGTTACCTTCAGGTCTGTTCAGTGTAGATACCATGACCGTTATTTTGCTAACGTTATGTTTTTGCGGAGGAGCTGTCACGCTAGCTTGCTAGCTAGCTAGCTAACTAAACATTACATTCGTATCAGCAACCTGACTTACTGGTCCATTAGACGACTGCTGCCGTTATTATGCTGGGTATGATGTCTGTAAGAATGTAGAATAGAAACACGATACTCTACTCATAAGCCATATTTACTGCCTGTATAATTTCCATGAGCTGTCAAACTGTGCTGTGTACCCTAGTCTAGAGTAATCAATAGTCCATCAAGAAAGTAAAACAGTAACGTTAACTACATTAACACGCATTGCCGAGGGGCGACCAAAACTAGAATAGTCCCAGTAAGCAAAAGGACGTTGAAAATTCGTATTTTCCAGACGTTGAAGTTAGGTTAAATTTAGGTTCTGAATGAAAGGCGAAAATACGTTTTTTCCGGACGTTGAAAATAGGTATTTTCCAGATGTTAAAATCAGGTTCATTTTCGGTTCTGAATGAAAGTTGAAAATACGTAATTTATATATGTATATGTTTGGATCAAATCTGAACCAAACATGGACATCCATCACAGGAGGCTGCTGAGGGGAGGGATACCATTCCCCTGATTCAGCTCCAGCCATTACCATGAGCCGGTCCTCCCCAGTTGAGGTGCTACCAACCATCTGTGACGTTTATGTTTGGGCCAAATCAAGGTTGGTCCAGACCGACGTCTATGATTGGTTCAGATTTGGTCTGGATCGGACCGAAAATCAATGTTCATGGATGTTGAAATCAAGGCCGGTCAGGACCACACCAAAACTGAATCAAACATAGAGGTCTATGTTTGGGCCAAATCAAGGCTGAGCCAGACCAAATAAAACCTGAACCAAACAGACGTCAAGGCTGGTCCGGACTGCACAAAAAAAAGACGTTTGCATTGGTCCGTGCTTACTGGGGTGTAGCATACCATGCCAGCCTGCAATTTAGCCCCAATTTCGATCTTGTCTCATCGCTGCAACTCCCCAACGGGCTCGGGAGGCAAAGGTCGAGTCATGCATCCTCCAGAAACATAACCCGTCAAACCGCGCTTCTTAACACCCGCCGCAGGAAACACATTCACCCGCAACAAGGAGTCGCTACAGCGCGATTAGCCCAAAAAAACTGCTTAACCCAGACGACGCTGGGCCAATTGTGCGCTGCCATGTGTAACTCTCGATCACGAACCGGGGTCTGTAATGACGCCTCTAGCACTGTGATGCAGTGCCTTAGACCGCTGCGCCACTTGGAGCCCCAATGGAATTTTATGAATGCCCATCTATCCATGTGTTAGGCCTACCGTTTGTATAACAGGCAGTTGCATTGGCTTTATTAGTCCTGATTCCTGTGACTAATCAATTTGGCTATTTAAGCTCTGAATATCAGCTCCCAACTTTATCAGGAGTTATGCTGAGCCTATTTGCAAAAAGAGTCAATGTGTTTACACAGCCGAAATGCAGAAATATTTACATTTTTTTGCTATGATCAGCTTATCAAAAATATACGGATACCAACTTTAAACCATGACAATTTAGCCCACGGGGTGAAACTCCTGGACAGCAGTTGTGAGAATCCTGAATGTTCATTCCATATTGTCCATTTTACTTTGACCTGTCCCGTTTTTAGGATATGTTGTTTAAAATGGCAGTGCGTTTGTTTATTTGATTGGGCGCCATTTAGGTTAGGCTATTTGATCTGAGAAACCTGCATGATGTAAAAAGTCTCCATCTCATTACATTCTCATACATTTTATCTCCAGCCTGTAGGCTACAGAACACACCATACTCTTTCTACCATAGGCTGTATCTGCTACATGATTTATGTTTGATGATTTCTTTGACGGAACGTTGGTGGAGCGCCGCAGCGATGCGTCTCTCCAATGGCACCCTGGAGAGGCGGGCTGGGAATAGACAAGTGAAATATTTTGCGCCCTTGACTTTGACGAAGTGGGCACTGCTTATCACAGGCTGATAAAAGCCCATATGCCACTGGTTGACAGACATTGTCATTGTTTCTCGGCAGAATGATGTGAGTCTTGGTCAGTTTAGCACAGAAAAAGCCGCCCTCGTCGATCTGCCGCCAAAGGCGGCCGCCTAATCCTGCCTAATGGGCGGGCGGGCTGGCCCTGTTTTCTTGTTTTGGGGCACACATTTTGTACCAAAGAATTACTTGATTCTGCTTTATTCTGTCTCTTAATATTGTCATTATAGATTTTTTTCAGTTATCAGTAGGCACTCAGGATATGACCAACCACACATATTTATAGAAGATTCATATATTAACTAAAATCATGTTTGATATGTATCATGCTTTGGTTGCTGTTGATAATTTACCTTTGACGTGTATTACAACAGGACCCCTTGAGACAGCTGAAGGACCTGGCAGAGCTTAAGGACCAGCTAGAGGACATTCAGCGGCGTGTGGAGAAGGAAGTACAGGCTGGGATCCCACAGGTGAGCAGTCAGATGTCTGACACACACATGCAGGCCTCAGGCTCACGCAAACATGACCTCATACAAACCCTCACTTTTCTGTAGTTGTTATAGATCAGGTCTGTTTATGTGCAGATGGAGTACACGTTTTCCATTCATCTTGTCAAACGGTCAGATGGGCCTCAGAAGAACAACCCCATACCTGTTTGTTGTGTGTTTCAAACATGAGGGTGACTTTTTGTTGTTCCAGGGTGGCAGTGTGCTGGCCTCTCCTTTCCTTAAGGGCTTCTTGGCAGGGTATATCGTGTCTAGGCTGCGATCCTCCGCGGTTTTGGGCGTGATCCTTGGGACTTGCACAGGCGTCTTTGCAGCTCAAAACTTTGGAGTGCCCAACATCGAGCAAACCCTGAAATACTTTTTCAACTCTCTAAAAGGACCCGGCAAATAGCAGCCCTGGTTCTGGGGGAGAAGATGGATCACTGAACCAATAAACCACCCCCTTGCCCCCTCAAAAATATCAATTGAACTACCCCACTCCAAAGCCTTCAATTTTAGATTGCAAAATGGTACTGAACTCAGAAAAATGATATGTGTGTTTGTGAGGAGAAATGTAGGAAAAACCAACATGGTTGCTTGAATTATGCATCACATCTTTACAATCATCTCTTGCAATGTGTGCAATACTCATGGAGGGACTTATATTTTGTATATTAACTGGAAAGATAACATTGTTCCTTTTATGCAATGGGTTCTTTGTAGGGGGGAGGATTTTATTTTCCTCAGGACAGCTTTCTATTTAGTCTTGCTTGTAGATCAACCATCTAACCTTGTTATTATACCCAAATGATATTTATAACATACTGTAGTAAACATGACTATGATAATATTATGTCAATATCTACTAATCTGTCCCTAGCAAGTTCTCTGCCTATGTTCTGACTTTTAGGTCACTGTAAACCCATATTGACCTGCTCCTAGTATACCAGTCTTTAGTGTCTGCTTGATAGTTCTGTACACTGAGTACATCACAATGCAGTCTATATAATGGTACACAGGGACCTCTACAGGGGAACTATCGACCTGCAGTTTGCATCCATGTTGGTCAGGTGGTCCTGGCAGGGGTTCCTGTGATTTAGCAAAGTAAATCCGTATACCAACTGATATAACCCTGGACATCTGGATCAGGCATTGCAATTATATTAATGTCCAGTACTGCCTTCTCAGCCAGGACGTACTACATGGGAGAAGTTTCAGATTTACCACAATACTTGTTTACTAGGCCCAATCTTGAGCCATGCACTATTAGATGAATTATATTGTCCTTAGAGAGTGGGTTGTAGTCTCCTAGCTCAGGGGTTTTTCAAACCTCGCTTCTGGGACCCCCAGCCATTCCATGTATTTTAAATATTCCACACCTGGTTCAACTAATCATCAAGCCATTGAATCGGTGAATCAGAATCAGGTGAGTTATTTCAGGGCTACATTTAGAAACTTCTCGGGATCCCCGAGGAGAGGTTTGAAAACCACTGCCATTATCACCAGACTGACAGATGTTGGAGAGCCTAATGGAATGAGATGCGTCACTGTTATTAATGTTCTCAACATTAACATGCAATCTAAAAAACTGTCAGGAACAGTGAAATGAGAAGTCACCAATACCAGAGCATTTATAATTGGTTTTCCTTTTTTTCCCCATACATGACGTTTGCTATGTCAGGTGATGTATGTTAGTCTGTTCTTGTAGTGACAAAATGGAGTGGTGCATTTTCTTTTGCTTTGGTTTGTACACTTGAAATGGTATGAAACTTCAATTATATGGCAGCCCTTTAAATAAAGTGTTTCATTTCAGTGGCATTTATTTTGACTTTATTTTATTAGCTAGAATGACAGTTACACATCTTGGTTGGCCTAATCTCCGTTTTTTTTAAATGGTTAGCAGTGAGCAGCAGTTAGTACACCTGGCCTTATTATATAAAATATCATAGGTTAATTAAATAGACCCATAGAGAAAATACAACAAAAGAGAACTTGTTAGTTTCCAAATCCCTGTGCTGGATTATTTAACATTTCCACAGAATCAGGGTATTCCGAATGGAAGTGCTTAAATGTAGATATGATGTGTAATGGGACAGTTTTACTGGTCCTCACAGCTCAATGGTTTTTACTCATCTGTAAATAAAGAGAAATGTACATTACCAACAGAATAGCCAGATAGTTCCTTACAGCATACACATGTAGTCAGAAGAAACAAACAAGGCATGTTTTGAAGAAAAGTCAACAATGAATTTCTTCCTATTTTAGTGGAAGAGTCCCTGCCACAGGATACTTACCACTCTGCATCACGTCATGTATGGCCATCACATGATTGAGTGCTGCAAAAGGTAGTAAAAATGGGTATGAATTAGGGCTGTCAAACTATTACAAAATGTAATCAAGTTAATCGCAGGATTTGCTGTGATTAATCGCAAATTCATAATTTGCTTGAATTGAACTGTAATTTAAGATATTTTTATACAAAAAGCATTACAAGAATATTGATTTTGTTCCAAGTAATGGTACGCAAAATCAGGTAAATTGATCAAGCACTTTCTCTAACCTCAATGTGAACTAGTTTTGACATCGCACTGTTGTTTTTTGCTGAATAGATTATGTATTAAGGATGTTTTCAGTGTATTTTAAACGCTTTCAGACAGTGCGAATTATCGCATTTAAAACAAATTGTGCCATAACATTACAAAAAGTTAATTTGAGTTAACGGATTAACCCTGACAGCCCTAGTATGAATACTTCATAATCTAAGAGCATTCATCACCATGGATTAATTCACAAAAATCCATGAATATCTATCTATCTAGCCCAAAGAAAGGGAAACTGAGACTGGTCAGGTCAGGTCCAAGGAAAGTCCCTGATTCATAAGGGAAGTTAAGGTTGGAATTGTTTGGTTTCATTTCAGTATTTATGATTGGCTGACTTGATCAGCGTCATCAGTTGTTAGTGAAAGATTTTCTTGAACAAAAAGGGGAACTAAAATAACTTGTCTCTGCTGCAACTAAAAATAATACACTTGTTCAAGAGATCAAATGGTTAGTTGAAACTTCTAGGGCCAATTTTCTAGACACAGATTAAGATTACACCTGGATTTTTTTTAAAAAAACTATTCCAATGGAAATTCTCTATTGAGCATGCTTTTTAAGGATAAGGCTTCATCTTTGTCTGGGTAACCAGTCCCTAAAGTAGAGAAGAGTGAAGTGGGTCTTGTGTTTATGGGACCCAACATCTGAGTATAATAAAAAAATATATATATATCTATTTTCAACTTCAAACAGGATCTTACCAGATGTGGCGCCGCACCTAGCTGGTCCATTGGTTAGGGTGCCAGAGAGCTGCTTCCCACTGGCATCCACACACCAGCAGAGGCGTTTGGCGTCCAAGCACTGCTGGGGCAGGTAGTTGCCGCCCTCATCACACTGGGGTCGGAAGGATTCAAGCCCCTCTGGTTTCAACCCTGCTGACTCCAGCTCACACTGGGTGGCAGAGCCTGGTCCTGTGTGGATGAAAGGTGTCTACATGTTATATGATGAGAGAGGAAGTGAGAGAAAGAGGGGGCTGGGGGAGCTTTGAAAGGGGGGTTTACTGGCATGACAGTTGAAATGTCAATGAATAACATTTCATACCTTCCTTTGGCCCCTGGGTAGATGTCCCCTGGAAAGGGAAGTAGAAAGACAGAACTGAGAATAAAGGTATATTCAAGAGACTGTTAAGCACGCTAATCATGGTTTAAACACGTAATTTCCATAGCTGAAGACTGACCTCATCAGCAGACTCATCGGTCAGCAACTGCATGGTGTTCATCGGCACATGCAGCTCCATGGGGACAGCAGCTGTAGACAGAAAGTGAGAAACTTTCTTATAGATTTACAAAGTTTAGCCTACAATAAAATGCAGTATCTTGTGGAGTGTTAGTTCACTCATTTCCTGTTAAAAAGGCCTCAAATAAAGGGTGTAGCTGTGATAGCCATTAGCTAACACTAGAACATTACAGGACCAGGTCCTGAGGGGAGCATAGTCTCACCAGCGTGCCCATGACCCAGCTCCTTCTTCAGGGATTTGCTCTGTTCCTGCAGGTCTTTAATGTCGTTTTTCTGGCCCAGGATGAAGTAGGCAGTCAGAGCCTGACCAGCAATGAGCAGGCAGGCCAGGAGGGTGAAACCAGCTATCTTGAAGGCCCTTTTGTTGGACCCTCTGTGAAGGAGACATAATATAAAATGGAGAATATGATGGATGCTTTATTGCTTTGTTATAAGGCTGATGTATGGGACTTTTCGTATAACTCCGCTATTACAGTAAACAATATAAATGTGTACGTGGCAAAAAAAGAAGAAGATTTTAATCAATTACTAGACCGTACTAAATCATGCCTTGTTTATGATGGTAAATTGTTTTCACAACAAAAATGACGTCAGGGGTTGCTGGGCAGACACCCATTTTAAATTTCAGGAATTAATCTAGATTCTAAATCACATTAAAACGATGCTAAAATCTATCAGCATATATATAGACAACATTTATGTAATCACAGATTAAAACTAATACTGCTAAAAAAATATTTATATCTAGATGGGCGTTTAGCCAGCGTTGTGGTGATGATAATGCTTAGTCTGGCTAATAAAAAGTACTTTTGGTCAGTTTGATCATTGTTTCCTTTCCCCCGGGAAGAATAAAATAAACAAAATGGCCCATTTGAAATGACCCTGTAAATGTTATACAATTATAATAAAAACATTGACAAGAGAAAAAGTATGTAATATTCCTTACCCTGATGTAGTTCCTACATTAATTGCAGTCTGCTCGCTGGGAGCTGTGATGAGGCGCTCTCTCTGTGGCTCAGACATCCTGCGGCAGTCTCTCTGTTACAACCTTTTAAATTGGTTTTCAATTTGAAATGGCTCACCCAAAACAAGACACCGTTTATAATCTGTCCGAGGAGAAGGGAAATTAAGATTGGTCAAATTCAAGGAAAGTCCCTGATTCATAAGGGAAGTTCAGGTTGGACATGTTTGGTTTCATTAAAGTATTTCTGATTGGCTGACTTGATCAGCATCATCAGTTGTTGGTGGCATATTTTCTTGAACACAAAGGGGAAATACAATAATTTAGGTGTCTGCAGCGACTAACCCAGAGGAAGAAGCGACGCGAGGGATAACTGTGACCAGAACCTCTCTTCTCCAGTAGGAGGCCTTTTTTTTCTTCGATTTATTCGCTCACCAAGCAAGTAGTTTTTGCATGGAGGTCAATAAGACTGTCGAATTTGGTTAACAAAAAAAATAACTACTTATTTGTTACGTGTGTCTTATTTGATCGAATATAAGTTTCTTAATGCTAAGGTTGTCATGAGTGTACTGCTATGAGTAGGAGACGTGACATCACGGCAATTTTGAGAAAAACACTATTAGTTCTGTTGTTCACACGCGTATTTACCTTCTCTAGAACGATCCAATCTGATTTTGCCTCCCGAATGCCTTCCATTTTTAAAACATTTATTTTCATTGTCAGAGTGGCCACTTAAGTATCTGGTCAATATAATGGACAATCTGTGATTAACCGAAAACAATGGATTTGTTCAATAGATCAAATGGTTAGTTGGAATTTCTAGGGCAGGTTTCCCAGACAGATTAATCCTGGACTAAAAACTATTTAAATTGAGATTCTCCATTGAGTATGCTTTTTAAGGATAAATCTGTGTCTGGGAAACCAGCTCCTTAACCTAACATTTGAGTAAATTACAATCCCTCAATGTGTACCGATTAGGTATGGATTTACTATTCTTGTCTGGTTTAGGGGTATATTTCTTGTGTACATATTGCTGTATTTGTTGTTAATGTGTCCATTGTTTTTACTTTGTGCTGCAAAATGAATTGCACCTCAGGGATAATAGACTCTACTCTAATTAGGATAACTTGTCAGAGAAAATCTGATAGGCTTTTACCTGTCTGGCAGTGGTATTCCCCTAGTAGTGTCACACTTAGAAATCTCCCAAAGATAATTTCTAGTAATTTACTTGAAAATATGCACCACGCTTAATTATTTGGAACCAATGATTAGTACATTGGACGAAAGGTCAAAAAGATGGCCAATGAAGGATAATAACCCAATCGAGTTAGCTACAAAGCAGTTACAAAGATCGCGTTCCCCTGCTCAGACATTGCATGCATCAACTAATGGTTGCGTACCACATATTCGACGTGACAGATTGCTGTAACATGTATAGTGAACAAAAATATAAACACAACATGCTACAAATAGTTCATATAAGGAAATCAGTCAATTGAAATACATTCATTAGGCCCTAATCTATGGATTTTATATGACTGGGCAGGGGCGCAGCCATGGGATGGGCCTATGCCCTCCCCACCCTGGCTGGGGAGCAAGGCCCAACCAATCAGAATGAGTTTTTCACCACAAAAGGGCTTATTACAGACATAAATACTCCAGTTTCATCAGCTGTCTGGGTGGCTGGCCTCAGACGATTCCGCAGGTGAAGAAGCCGGATGTGAAGGTCCTGGGCTGGCATGGTTACACGTCGTCTGCGGTTGTGAGGCCGGTTGGACGTACTGCCAAATTCTCTAAAACGGAGGTGGCTTATGGTTGAGAAATGAACATTAAATTCTCTGGCAACAGCTCTGATGGACATTCCTTCAATTAGCAATGCCAATTGCACGCTCGCTAAAAACTTGACATCTGTGGCATTGTGCTGTGTGACAAAACTGCACATTTAAGAGTGGCCTTTTGTCCCCAGCACAAGGTGCACCTGTGTAATGACCATGCTGTTTGATATGCCACACCTGTCAGGTGGATGGATTATATTGGCAAAGGAGAAATTCTCACTAACAGGGATGTAAACGAATTTGTGCACAACATTTTAGAGAAATACACTTTTTGTGCGTATGGAACATTTCGGGGATATTTTACTTCAACTCATTAAACATGGGACCAACACTTTACATGTTGCGTTTATATTTTTGTTCAGTATAGTTAGCCGGTACGTTAAATACCTATCCAGGCGTTGTAAGATCTGGCATGCGTCAGCAATGCCTGGGCAGAGAAACATGAAAAAGATCATCATAAATTGGGCTGCCTGTGTAAACTCAAGGGCGGCAGGTAGCCTAGCGCAGGGTTTCTGCCCTAGCACTCCCCATTCTCGGTACCCCTGTGTATAGCCTTGCTATTGTTATTTAACTGCTGCTCTTTAATTATTTGTTACTTTTATTTCATTTTTTTTGTATTCTTTCTTAAAACTGCATTGTTGGTTAAGGGCTTGTAAGTAAGCATTTCACTGTAAGGTGTTGTATTCGGCGCATGTGACAAATAAAACGTGATTTGATGCAAATAATCAAAGCTTGATGAGTTGGTTATTTGAATCAGCTGTGTAGTGCTAGGGCAAAAAACGAAACATGCACCCAGGGGGGGCCCCAGGACTGAGTTTGGGAAACCCGGTTAAGAGCATTGGGCCAGTAACTGATAGGTCACTGGTTAAAATCCCCAAGCCAACAAGGAAGAAAAATCTGCCTTTCTGCCCTTGGCGCGGACGTCGATTAAGGGGTTGGGTTAAATGCTGTAGACACATTTTGGTTGAATGCATTCCGTTGACTAGGTTATCCCCCTTTCCTGATAGACATCCTGGTTCTCCCAGACGGATTAAGAGTATGTAGTACAACCAGAAATGTTTGTCACTAGAGTAATATTACAGGCTACAGGCCTCCGGTAGCTCAGTTGGTAGAGCATGGCGCTTGCAACGCCAGGGTTGTGGGTGCGATTCCCACGGGGGGCCAGTATGAAAAATTTATGCACTCTTAACTATAAGTCGCTCTGGACAAGAGCGTCTGCTAAATGACTAAAATGTAAATTACATTTTGTTCTTATGTAAATAATTATCTATAAAATGGGAAGTTTGTTAATTTAAAAGGCTTGGATTGGGGTATTGAAGCACGTTTTGAATGGTCCAACAAATCGACTTCCGGCAGTATGGATGAACTGGAATAAAGCAAAGCTTTGGCAAAACAATGCAGTGGCTCAGCAAGATTTTATTTCACCATCAAATCATTTCTGGGTACCTAAGTACCTTGTGATTATTCAATAAAAATTGTCCAAAAAAATGTCTCTTAGCAAAGAGCAATTTCTCAAGCAAGAATCTCGCTAAGACTGTCAGAGTGGAAAACTGAAAACGAACCATTAGTGGCTGAGGTTTGGAACTCTTTGGTCTATTAACCGATGTATCGCCTGGTGATGTCCCCAGGCAGGCCAAAACCCCATCCCACCAAAACAGGCTGAAATTTCAGGCACTTTTCAGAAAAGCTTGTACACTAAAAGGGCATGACCCTAATTTCCACAATATTATTCCATCCTCAGTGTGGAAATAAATAAATATATATTTTTCTTCCTAGAAAGACTTGCAACAAATAGAAAACACACTGAAGAACCAGACAAAAGCAGCGTTTGGAATTAACCTTTTATTGAGTGAAAAACTCAAAGCACATTTACAGACGACGCCCACGACGACCTCCCTTTCTGCGGGTGCTGTCTGATGGAATAGGGGTGACATCCTCTGCAAGGAGAAAGAGAGCATGGGTCTTCATATGCATAACAGACTTGTACATCGAATCCCTGATTCATTGACATCCTCATTTTTAAATGTTTAATGAATATTGTCTGAAGGGCATTGAACAGACGCATACACTTGGCCGACATGAGTCGCTCTTATACAGAGCGACTCGCTAACTTCAAGTAACGCTGAATAAGAGCGTCTGCTATATGACTAAAAGTTGTACAAATGACATGGTTGTGACATAAGCATGCGAGTGCATGCATGTAAATTACACAACCTTGTTCAAGAGACTCCAACAAAACAGGCCACTAGAATAGTTGAATTGTTTCACATGTAGTATTCAAAGACCAGTAGAAAAAGCATTTCCCAACTGAAACATCTATATCCTCTGGAAAACATCATACAACCAGTACATTTCACCCTTGATGCATGAAATATGCAGACACACGGTAGTGTTTCCCAACCCTCTCCTTGATTAGTTGACTCAGCCACGTCCGTCAGTGCAGGGGCTATAACTAACATGTGGACGGGACAATCCATTGGTACAAGGAGAGAGTTGAGAAACATTGGTATATCAAATAAATGATCTAATTTAGAACAGATTCTCCTGACAGGGCGGCTGAGCTAAAGCTTACCGATGCGTCCGATTTTCATGCCAGAACGAGCCAGGGCACGGAGAGCAGACTGTGCTCCTGGTCCAGGGGTCTTGGTTCTGAAATGCAAATGTTCACACTGTTGCACAAAAGACAAATCTAATGCATAGCCAACTATTGACAAATCCAGTTGCACAACTCAGAAGACTAAGCAAAATAGAGACTGCGCTTCTAAATTCATCTGTCCATTTACAGCGGTAACAAGAGTAGTCGTCAAAAGGACACAATGTGCCCTACCAAAACGATTTAGCTGCATCAAGCACTGTGCAACAAGGATGTACAAAAGACGAGGTCTGACGGAGCAACAAGCGCTTCAGTGAACAGAGGGAGGGATTCATTACCTGTTGCCGCCAGTGGCCCTCAGCTTGATGTGCAGGGCAGTGATTCCCAACTCCTTGCACCTCTGTGCCACATCCTGTGCGGCCAACATGGCGGCGTAGGGGGAGGACTCGTCTCTGTCGGCCTTCACCTTCATACCACCAGTCACACGGCAGATAGTTTCCCTGGAAGGTGCAGGGACATGTTTAGGGCAAAGCGTTTCAAACCAAAGCTGAACAACACTGCACAGACAATAATGTGATGGACATCGATTGCTGTAAGAAACATGCAGGTTGATTGAAAATGTATTCGGTCACTAGACAGATTTAATATTTTCCAAAGCCGAGCATGCACCGTTCTAATGCCTTCAGTACTTACTTGCCGGAGAGGTCAGTGACATGAACGAAGGTGTCATTGAAGGATGCAAAGATGTGGCAGACTCCAAAGACATTCTCGCCTTCGGCAACCTGAGGTCCCAGGGCGATGACCTGTTCTTCCTTCTTTTCCTTACCCTTGCGAGGTGCCATAGCTGCAAAGGAAAGCACGTTTGTCAGCATTTAGTTTAAGCATCAGTTACCAATCCTGGAATTAGCATCCAAGCAAGATCCCGGATTGAGGCCTGGCAGGTGGAGAGAGTAACGTTTCCATATCTAGCGACCTGGCTACATCCTGACTCCTGGTAGGGGATGGATAAATAACTTCACCACAAGATGCTTTTGAATTGCTGTATTTGAAGTGTCACTCACTAGTTATGTGCACAATGAGAACACTTGGCAAAATGTCAACCATTACCTTAACTGACCAGTAACTACTAGTTAACGTTATTTACAAGCATCACATGGCAACACACGCCAGTGGAGTGGCCTTAACGTTAGCTACCTTATTAGCTAATGTATAAAACGACAATATTTCCATACGAACCCATGTGTGCTTGTCACAACAATATAAAGACTAAAAACTACAGTAGCCCCATATTCTACCTGGCTAGCACGGTACAACCACGGCGACAGCAAGCTAGTTACATTAACTAACTAGCTAAGGTTACAGTTGGCATGAGCAAGCTACACTCCACATGACACTCCGGTACAATTAAAAGGCATAGATAACACTTCCCAGCAGCAAAGATGCACACGGGTGAAGACATTGTGGACAATATGGTTGTAATAACTAGTTCTACATGAATACCACTCAATGTGCTCCAGCAAGCGACATTCTCAGGCCTTGCGATGATGAAAATCGCTTTTTCCAGCCTACACTAAAGTAGTATAATCCACAAACTTCAAGACCTATTTTCGAACAAATCGCACATTTTCCTTAGCTATAAACGTTTAGTTTATCGATTACAAAGACAAGGGCCAATATATACTTTAAGGGAATGAGGATTCATTTGGATAACAATTCTGCGATAATTTACCTGTGTGTGTCTCTACTAAAGCCGAAACAGGAAAGGAAAGAACTTTCGCAACCGGGTTCAAAGTTCAATCTTTTTTCCCCCCGGAAGTGGATCTCGCTCTTTACTGCCTCCAAGCGGTTTGTATGTGCACAGCACGCAATCAGGTTGGAAAGGGCCGGCCTTTTTTTTTTTTTTACAGGTACACAGCATCATTTACACATAATTTTCAATTTGTGAAATTCTGCTATTTCAACCCCCCCCCAAAAAAAAATATATATATATAATTTATGCTATTTCGTCCTGTCATATACTATGCCAAATTATACAATTTGTTTCACTACATTAAAGAAGAGTCCAGGTATTGGACCTACATATTTGTTTATGGAAAATAATAAACATGTTAGATCTCACACCTAATTCATGTATTCCTTACCTTACTTATTCCTGCAATGTATTTAGAAGATTCTGGATCAAAGCGCGCATGTTTTTCAAAGGGTTTACTGTTTTTGTGGATAATAATGATGACCCATTGCCTTTTTCGTCTTTAGAGACATTTCATTTTCATTGACTAACTTATTCAAAAGGGCCGAGTCACATTATATCTTTAGAAATGATTTATAGCCGCAATCACATCTGTTACAAGTACATCTGCTCCCAACAAGCACACCTGATTCAACTAGTCAACTAATCATCAGGCCCTCAATGAGCTGAACCAGGTGTTTTTTGTTCGGGGCTACAAAAAAATGTGTGCTGTTGGGGGTTCTTGAGGACTGGAGTTGGGAACCACTGAACAGGTATAAAACCAAGGTCGGTGTTTTACTGCCACCTGCACTTATGGAATGTTTCCTCACGAGTATAATCCATTGGTTGATCCATCCTGGTGACCTGGATGGAGTTATGTGGTCCTTCCATAACCCATAGCAAATCCCACCCAGTTGACTACCTCAAAATGGTGAAAGTCCTCAATGGCGCTGCCCATGCTAAAACAGGAATTTGGGCAGTAGAGTCCTCTATCTATCTCTATGGCTGAGTTGAATCACCCAAGAGGCTACCATCTAAGAATCACATCAAAGTTTATTGGTCGCATACAAAGATTTGCAGATGTTATTGCAGGTGCAACAAAATGGTTGTGTTTCTAGCTCCAACAGTGCAGTAATACCTAGCAAAAAATAAATAAAAAATACACACATAATCCAGAAAAATTAAGAAATATCAGAACGAGCAATGTCAGAGACCGGAATATAAATACATATAATAGTGTGTAAAGACAGTAAGGCCAGCATATGAATAGAAAAGGTGTGTACAGCAAAGCTATATCGGATGGGCCATGACTAGAATACAGTAAATACAAATATAAAGTGGGTAAAACAGTATGTATATATTATTAAAGTGACCAGTTTTCAATGATTCTGGGTACCCAACCTGGTTTCAATGGTGCATCTGTAGAAGTTTGTGAGGGTCTTGGGGGCCAAGACAAATTTCTGCAGCCTCCTGAGGTTGAAGAGGCGCTGTTGCACCTTCTTTACCACGCAGTTTGTGTGAAGGGACCATTTCCGGTTGTCAGTGAAGTGCACGCCAAGGAATTTTAAGCTTTTGACCCTCTCCACTGCAACCCCATCGATGAGGATGGGGGCGTGCTCTCTCTGTTGTCTCCTGTAGTCCACAATCAGCTACTTCATTTTGTTGACATTGAGGCAGAGGTTATTTTCCTGGCACCACTCTGCCATGGCTCTAACCGCTTCCCTGTATGCTGTCTCATTGTTGTTGGTAATCAGGCCTACCACTGTTGTGTTGTCAGCAAACTTGATGATTTAGTTGGAAACGTGCGTGGCCACGCAGTCATGGGTGAACAGGGAGTACAGGAGGGAGCTGCGCACCAGTGGAGGCTGCTGAGGGGAGGACGGCTCATAATAATGGCTGGAACGGAGCAAATGGAATGGCATCAAACACATGGAAACCATGTGTTTGGGGTATTTTACACCATTCTACCTATTCCGCTCCAGCCATTACCACGAGCCCGTCCTCCCCAATTAAGGTGCCACCAACCTCCTCTGTTGATCAGCGTGGTGGAGGTGTTGTTGCCTACCTGCACCACTTGGGGTCGGCCCGTCAGGAAGTCCAGGATCCAGTTGCACAGGGAGAGGTTCAGACAGAGGGCCCTGAGCTTAGTGATGAGCTTGGAGGGTACTATAGTGTTGAAGGCTGAGCTGTAGTCGATGAACAGCATTCTTACATACAGTAGGTATTTCTCTTGTCCAGGTGGGTTAGGGCAGTGTGCAGTGCAATGGCGATTGCATTGTCCATTGATCTGTTGGGCCGATATGTGAATTGTAGTGGATCTAGGGTGTCGGTGGACGTGATATTGTCCTTAACTAGCCTCTCAAAGCACTTCATGATGACAGAAGTGGGTGCTACGGGGTAATAGTCATTTAGTTCTGTTACCTTTGCTTTCTTGGGTAAAGTAACAATGGTTGACATCTTGAAGCAAGTGGTGACAACAGACTGGGATATAGAGAGATTTATATTCCCGTAAACACTCCAGCCAGCTGGTCTGCACATGCGCTGAGGACACGGCTTGGGATGCCGTCCGGGCCGGCATCCTTGCGAGGGTTAACATGCTTAAATGTCTTACGTTGGCCACAGAGAACGAGAGCACACAGTCCTCATAAGCATCGGGATTCTGTGACAGAAAGTGTCACCTTCTATGAAATACCCAGCCAGTTGGCGGTGAAACCCTGAAGTAAATTATCAGTGTGTGCAGTTAATGTTTCAGCTCATTCTGAATGCCAGGATGATTGAAAGCCCAATGTTGGCCAAGGTGCACTCTGGGATGATGGATGTCAGTGGTAGTAGCACAGGGCTCTGCTCAGTCAAGCATCAATTTAGTGTCAACAGGAGATTGAGCTGTACTCTGGACATGCACTAGATTACTCAGACATCCACCAACATGGATACTGTTTATGTAATAGGAATGGATCAAGTTAAATCACCCATGCAAGATGCGTCACTTCATTTTAGCACATATTTTCATCCATCTAAATGTCAGTTTTTGTATCTGTAAAGACTTTATCCAGAAATATGACTTGTTTGGCACCACTTCCTACAATCTGGTAATATCATTTTCTTATATAGGCCTATCTCTTCGGGCTTGCTGAAATTAGGACCACTGTAATTTAATTGATGTAAATTACACATTGGCTAAGATGCCCATTTAACCCTCTCAATCTGTACATTGACATGGGGGTGGTGTGCAGTGCAACCAAAGTGCAAGTGTTAAATCAGATGATATTGTATCAAAAGGTTGAGTTTAAAATCGATTGGTGAAATCTATCATTGACCTGAGGGAATAATGAAGGAATGTTACACTACATGAACAAAAGTATGTGGACACCTGCTCGGACTTGCTTCCATTCAGCCACAAGAGCAGTAGTGAGGTCGGACACTGATGTTGGGCAATTAGGCCCGCAGTCGGCGTTCTAATTCATCCCAAAGGTGTTCGATGGGGTTGAGGTCAGGGCTCTGTGCAGGCCAGTCAAGTTCTTCCACACCGATAGACAAACCCTTTCTGTATGGACCTCGCTTTGTGCACGGGGGCATTGTCATGCTGAAACAGGAAAGGGCCTTTCCCAAACTGTTGCCACAAAGTTGGAAGCACAGAATTGTCTAGAAGGTCATTGTATGCTGTAGCGTTAAGATGTCCCTTCACTGGAACTAAGGGGCCTAGCCCGAACCATGAAAAACAGCCACAGACCATTATTTCTCCTTCTCCAAACCTTACAGCTGGCACTATGCATTGGGGCAGGTAGCGTTCTCCTGGCATCTGCCAAACCCAGATTTGTCCGTCGGACTGCCAGATGGTGAAGCGTGATTCATCATTCAAGAGAACGCGTTTCCACTGCTCCAGATTTCAAAGGCGGCGAGCGTTACACTCCAACTGATGCTTGGCATTGCTCATGGTGATCTTAGGCTTGTGTGCGGCTGCTCGGCCATGGAAACCCATTTCATGAAGCTCCCGACAAACAGTTATTGTGCTGACGTTGTTTCCAAAGGCAGTTAGGAACTCGGTAATGAGTGTTGCAACCGAGGACAGACAATTTTTACGCACTACGCGCTTCAGCACCCGGCGGTCCCGTTCTGTGGGCTTGTGTGGCCTACCACTTCACGGCTGAGCCGATGTCGCTCCTAGACATTTCCACTTCACAATAACAGCACTTAATTGACCGGGGCAGCTCTAGCAGGGCAGACATTTGACAAACTGGCTTGTTGGAAAGGTGGCATCATATGACAGTGCCACGTTATCAAGTTACTGAGCTCTTCAGTAAGGCCATTTCTACTACCAATGTTTGTCTATGTTAGAATTTGGAGATTGCTCGATTTTATTCACCAGTCAGCAACGGGTGTGGCTGAAATAGCCAAATCCACTGATTTGAAGGGGTGGCCACATACCCTTGTATATATAATGTATGTTGAATCTGCCAACTATGATCTGAAATGTGTTAATATTGCGCTTAGTAGGGACAGATTGCTGAGGTTTGTGCTTGCAGTGCTGTGAAGGACAGCTGATAGGGATACAGGTTGGATTTACTGTCATTTGGCAGCTAAGAAACCAATTTACAGTCTATGAGCCACATGCTCCCTCTCCTGGCCAATAGCTTACTTTACTTTGCTCCAAGAGATCATCATCAACTACATAGAAAATGAAGATGCACAACAAGTTAAAAAGACAGTGGTTTCTTTATTTGTAAATTAAAAAAAAAAAATCACAAAAATATTAGCTACCAACAATAAAAAAATATTAACAACAATTGGTTGATTGTACAGTCCAGATGATGATTATTTCCTTATAGTTAATTAACGATTACTACTCATTAATGTCCAACATTAACCATGAATTAACTACTCATTAAATGTCCAACATCATACAGAATCTTTGAAAGTACAATACTGGGACTTTTGCTGAGTGAGTGGGGTAGAGAAGGATCAGCCCACAGACATGGGGACACACTGGGCTCATCTCCTGACTGTCAGGTATAGGCTGGAACAACACAACACCCTCCCTGATACTCTGAACCAGAACACTTGTACCACATATTGCATTGTAAAATGGCTCAAGACACAGGAAGTTGTAAAATAGCTCAAGACAAAAAAGGAAACGTGAATATATAACAGCTCCTCGAGCAAATTGAAATGAGAGCAGCATTTGTGCATCCGTGTGTCACCACACAAGGTGCATGATTCAGTACCTTAAATACAATTAATCTAGAATGGACCCGTAAATCCACACTTCTTTACAAGTGTCCAAGTAATACAAAATACAAAATGGAGCCCTGCAAAATCCCTCACACAAACAAGGACTGTTCTCCTTAACAGGAAAGTTGTACCAGAACCTTCTTCTAACAGCTAGTGCTGAGAAATAAATATTGTGCTTCTAGGAGAGCATTGGCATACTGGAACTGAAATACAATAACATTTAATTAAGCCCCCAGATATGTTTAGATTCTTTAGATCTGTATAGCAACTAATAGAGATAAAACAATGCGAGTTCACATTCCTCTAACCTTGACTAATAACAGGAGAAAAGAAAGCCCTGTGTGTCCTGTATAGAAAAACACCAGCTCCTCAGAATGTTAGATTTTGCAGCTTCAAAATCCAAATTTCAGTCTTTACAGAACACACTAAAACTCTCCTGATTGGACACTTTGAAATGAGCTAGGACCACAAGCTGTGGTGATAAATAAAACCATGAGGATGACGGGACACAGTGTGAACCTCTAAGAGCCGTCCTACAGGGACAGATAAGGACCACTTCTCACTACCAACTGTCAAAGGGCATACTAAATACTAAATCAACTTCACCACTGCAGCTAAATGCTGGCGAGCTAGAGCCATGTTGACCGACGACCCTCAACATCCTGTGTTGGATTTAGCATGTGGCAAAGTCATTCTAGGTGAAAGGGGAGACTGTGACGTTGTCTGTAACTGTAAACTAGGACATAGGACTAAGGGAACCAGTATACTTCCCCAGTGGAGTAAATCAACAGATATCCTTCTATTCTGCTCTCCCACATGGCCCAGTTTTACAGGAACAATAGGAGGAAGAAATCAGGGGGGAGGGGATTTAGCTTGAGTTGAGCTAAGTTGGGAAAGACCAGGAGTCCTTACCTCATCGTTAAACCTATCGATGTACGGGCTACCGGACTCAGGCTCAGGGATGGACAACTCTGTAGATCCCTTCGATCTCCATTGAGTTGGGTAGACCTGCCTTTAGTTTTGTTCCACCTTACGTGTGGAATGATCTACAATACACTTTAACATTTGAAGAATTGGTGCCTCTAGGGCCTTTCAGACGGTTATTAGGGGACCTTTTTACTGAAGAACGTGTCTGTTTATGATTATGTTTGCTTTTCATGTACTGTTGTGTATAATAACGTGTATTTTAATGTGTAAATGAATGTGTCGTTTAATGTATATATTGTATTTTGATGTGTATTGTGGTGCTATGCAGGGCCCCCCTGGAAAATAGACCCTAGTCTCAGCATCAACTCCCTGTCAAAATAAAGGTTAAATTAAAAATGTAGTGCTTTAATGTTTTTAATCAATTATACAAGACATAATTTAGTCTTAAATTGATAAGGCATTTGATAAGAATGAGAAGTGCAAATATAAGAGGCGCATTACTGCAAACTTACAGACGTAGGATCTTAATTTGAGCCTGTTTGCTACAGCAGGAAAATAATCCCGCAGCAACAGGAAATGTGAATTATTATGTGGATTATAACACTGACCAGCTGTCAAAATGAATGTTAAATCCATTTTTAAAGAGTCAACATCATGCTCCTCTACCATCACTAGTGGAAACAGAGATCTGCTCGGTGCAGTAACACGTCGGATGATGATGATGATGATGCTTGTCTCCTCAGAGTGATAAATTGCAGTGTCCACCTTATGGGCTTTAAACACGCAGCTACATTTCTCATGTCACATTTATGTTCAGTTTGCAGTCTACAGACACGGTGGGGTCAGCTGTATTTAGGAATGGGTTTCATTATTAAGGCAGTTACAACCAAGGACAAGCGGGAACATTCCACTGACCAAGGCAAGCCCAGCTTGTCTCGTTTGGAAGTATCAGTATATATTTCACTTTTTTAATCCACTGTGGATTGATTCAATTGAAGGTCTCAGACAGCCAAAGGTAATTTTAATTGATAAAGGTCAAGGGTCAGTGTGGTCTGTGGTAGCAATACATGGGCTCCAGTTAGGTTTCAGATGAACACAGATTAAAAACATGGAACAGTTAAAAGGAACATACAAGACTCGACAGTTGTGTTGTGTAACCATAACTCGGAAACAAATACAGACATCCAGTAATATATGAGTGTTAATTATGAAAATATAAATTCAGAAATACTTTCAAATGAACATTCCACTCTGGCACTTGAATATACATTATTGGCTAATGTATTTTTCATGACAGGCACAGAGAAATGACATCTTCCTCCTTCCCTCTGTGTCTGTCTGTGTGAGAGAGTGCACACGTCAGTGACGGAACAAGAACATCGGTCCCCTTTGAGGGAATGATGCATCTCTTCGATCCCTCCCTCTTCTCTCTTTGCCCCAGTGTTGCTGTGTCCAAGTGCCCATGACGGGCACTTGGTCATTCTCTCTGAGAAAGAAGTAGAACAATCCTAAACTCAGTTCTTGTCTCTCCTTCACCCCTGCCTCTTTTCCCTCCTGAGGGCCCACACCCCAAGCTAGGGAACATGGGGGCCACTGGGAGCCGCTGGGTTGATTTGGCATGGGGGGGGTGGGGTCTGTGTCTCTCCTGCTTCCTCAGCTCCTGGTCAGCCTGCGTGGCGGTGAATGGCTGGAGCCGAGGGGCGAGCACGTGCGTCCCCCTCTGTGGGGGGGGGGTCAGGTTGGGGTGGCGTCTCTGTCCTTGTGTCCCCGGCCATGCTGAGGCTACCTGGTGTGGAGCAGCTCCTCCCTGAGCCAGCTGGGTAGAGGCTGGCCCATCTTATAGAGCAGCTTGGACAGCTCTATGTTTTGCTCCCTGTAATGCTCCCTAAGGAAGGAGCGAGACTGCCACAGGATAACAGGGGAAGAGAGAGAGAGAGAGAGAGAGAGTGTGTGTCAAATATAGGGTCATATAGCTACAATACATTTTTTAATAAACATACATAGTTTGTAGCTCCCACCCTAGATACAGCAGTTGCCCATTTAGTTAGGGGTTAATCAGCGAAGCTGGGTGAAACCCTACTGTACTGGTTGCTGTTGATTACTTTCCTTTTTCTGCCGATTTGGTGAAAAAATTCAAATTCCTGTGAGATGGTCGGGCCTAGGAGGTTGCAACCTTGCATGATGGTAAAGGGTCAAGGGCCACACATCTCATGCAATGGCAATTGGGGACGCTATAACAAGTGATTGAAAATGCTAACTTTGAAAGCTCACGCCCCTCACCCCGTTTGACCTAGTCCTGAAATTCAGTACATAGGTCCCTCTCCTCACAAGGAACAAATTTGCCTCAAGGACCCTTAAGGTCTGCCATGATGGATTTTCCGCCATTTTGTATATATCTTTTTTAAAGCTACTCCTCTGGCACCGAATGAACGATCTGCACGAAACTTGATACATGGCATATATGGACCAAGGTCTCACAGCGCATGTTTTTACAGACTAGCATCATAAACAACATGGCTGCTACTGACCAATAAACATTTAAGTGGGCGTGACCGGGCACATAAATGCATATAAAATCAGACACGGTTATTCGTATTGAAACAAAACGTTATACACATGTTCCAAACACTGTTCAAGACTAAACATACGCAATAACAATTAGATCCACCACATGCTGACGCTATAACGGGCACATATTCATATCTCATGATCTGTTTGACTCCGTCATGGAATTTGGCACACATGCTCAGGGACGCGAGTCTAGCTAACCTGTAGAGTATGGTTCAGTTTGGCCTCATGAGGGTGCTGTTGGACAGGAAAAAACATGAATGCAAGCTCATTGGCTTATGTTGTTTGAACTAGAGTGTTGGAAAATATTTAAAGACATGGGTTTATAGATGCTACATACCAAAGTTGGTGCCGATCGGTCAAGCGGTTCTGGAGTAGAAGACGTTTAAAGTAGTCAACATTAAAACGGTACAAAATCCATCAAAAGCATACTGCGGGATGTTTGATTTTGAGTTCTGATATTTGGCAAATGTGGTAAGTACAGAAGAAGCTGATCCAAGGGTGATGTGTCCAATTTCTCCTGATGGTGGCGCTGGGCGGCCAAAGCTTGAACCCCTATATATGGGGCGGCAGGTAGCCTAGCAGTTAAGAGAGTTGGGCCAGTAACCGAAAGGTCGCTGGTTCGAATCCCCGAGCCGACTAGGTGAAAAATCTGTCGATGTGCCCTTGAGCAAGACACTTAACCCCAATTGCTCCTGTAAATCGCTCTGGATAAGAGTGTCTGCTAAATAACTAAAAGGTAAATGTATATGGCTGCTTGCAGCTATTTTTGATATCGAAATTATATGACAATCTTCAATGTTATGATGTGTATCTAACTCTTATGCCCAGGGAACAACATCACATTTAATGACCTTTAGTTAACTTAGTTTTCAGAGAGAGTTTTTGTCCAGACTACTGAGTAACTCAGGCAGCGGGCACTGCAGCTCTGCTCTGTGTGTCTCATGAGCCCTGTCATCCCAGCTAATTACCCCCGAGGTGTCTGTGCCAACGCAGTCAAGGTAACTTCAAGGACCTGAGCTCAGTGCCCACCCTGTCCCCCTCAACACCCCTCTCCTCTCTATGGCTGCTCATTAGACACTGACAGATCCGGTGGCTTTCCATGCCCAGCCTGAGAGAAGTTGAGCGGAGGCTGTCACAGACAGGCAGGCAATGAGACCATAAAGCACCACTGACTGTATAGGAAAGAAATATTTTTCTTCTATAAAATCTACTCTAGGAGAGACAATTCAACTATATAAAAAAATACTTGCTTGTCAAGGTGACATCTTTATGTTGAATAATTGTATGTTTTTAAGTTGAGGGAAAGGCAGACGTTGTTTTTGTTATGTTTGTGTACATGTTCCATAAACTTACATCCGTGTCCATGTCGGGGTATCTCCGTCCTTTACTCTTGCCCAGACATTTGGTCTTCCCTCCGTCTAACAACTGGCACCAGAACCCTTTTTTGGGATCAAACCTGGTGACAGAGGAACACAGAACCATACAATGGAGGTGGGCCAGTCAAAATGTTGAAAATTAATTCTCATCGACCTAATCAAAAAGGGAACATCCTGAACGGATGTTTGCGGCTCTTGGTGTTTACTGAAGAGACGCGGGACAAACCATATCCATTGTCCACAGGAGGATGTGGCTGTTTGCTGCAGTTTGGCAGGGTAATTATGTGGTCAAGCATCAAGAGGCAGAAACAGATATAGGGGGGCTGGTGAACAGGGGGAGGCAGAAGAAAGGGTATAGGTTGGCATGGTGATGTCAAAGTGATGGTAATCCCTCCAGAAGAGCGCATTCTGAAAATCACATCAAAGCTGTTCACAAACCAAGCACCTCCGCTCCGACTGAAAAGATAGGTTCCTTCACAATCACGGTGGTGTTGGCCAGCTCAATGCTTTAAAGGAGGGATGGGCAACTGGAGGCCCGCACCATTTTGAAGGCTTTCGGATGAATTTCCCCAACATTTTTTATTTAATTTAAATGTTTTAAGCAACTCAGACGGCGTCTCAACTTACTGTTGCAAGTTAGAAGAGTAGAATACACAAGGTGCAATTTCGAAATTTGGTTGAGCATCAACAGTTTTTCTCTTATGTCAGTCACTGATAGTCAGTCAATTAGCCCATATCAGCAAAACATTTTTTGATTGCTAAGTTAGCTGGCCGCTAAACTATCTAAACTAAAATTGTAAAATTACCTGCTGTTGGGCCCAAATTGATTTTGTTAGTTAGTCTCACTCAGACATCATAGTAAAAACTGCAAACCTTTCTCTCCACCCTATGTCAAAATGTTTAGAATTGTAGGAAATCAGCTGTAAAACAGCCCATTTTCCTCTCTGCCCCATGGCAAAATGAGTAGAATTGCATTAAATGAGTTCTAAAATTGCAACATTTTCTCTACACCCCATGGCAAAAACATACTCTCCGTTGTCAAGAGGGGCCACTCATTTGTTTTTGCTCACAATGTGGCGGGAGATGGATGTGGGTACACAGACCCACGAGCAACCGCAGCCCCTCATGAGTTCAGAGTTTTTTGTGGCCCCCATCAAAGTTGCCCATCCCTGCTTTAAAGGCCCAGTGCAGTCAAAAACTTGATTTTCCTGTGTTTATATATACACTTCCACACAGAGGTTGGAAAATGACGATAATGACCTTTTAGTGTAAGAGCTGGTTGAAAAAAAACGACCAGAAATTTCAGCCTGTTTTGGTGGGATGGAGTTTTGGCCATGCGGTATGCAGTAAATTACATTGAACAAAAAATTTAAATGCAACCATTTCAAAGATTTTACTGAGTTACAGTTCATATAAAAGGAAATCAGTCAATTGAAATAAATTCATTGGACCCTAATCTAAGGATTTCACATGACTGGGAATACAGATATGCATCTGTTGGTCACAGATACCTTAAAAAGATTTTAGGGGCGTGGATCAGAAGACCAGTCAGTATCTGGTGTGACCACCATTTGCCTCATGCAGCACGACAGCTCCTTCACATAGAGTTGATCAGGCTGTTGATTGTGGCCTGTGGAATGTCCCATTCCGCTTCAATGGCAGTGCGAAGTTGCTGGATATTGGCGGGAACTGGAACACGCAGTCGTACACGACTATCCAGAGCAGCCCAAACATGCTCAATGGGTGACATGTCTGGTGAGTATGCAGGACCATGGAAGAACTGGGACATTTTCAACTTCCAGGAATTGTGTACAGATCCTTGCAACATGGGGCCGTGCATTGTCATGCTGAAACATGAGGTGATGGCGGCGGATGAATGGCAAGACAATGGGCCTCAGGATCTCGTCACAGTATCTCTGTGCATTCAAATTGTATAAATAAAATGCAATTGTGTTCGTTGTCCATAGCTTATACCTGCCCATACCATAACCCCACCAACATGGGGCACTCTGTTCACAACGTTGACATCAGCAAACCGTTCGCCCACACAACATCATACACGCTGTCTGCCCGGTACTGTTGAAACCAGGATTCATCTGTGAAGAGCACACATCTCCAGCGTGCCAGTGGCCATCGAAGGTGAGCATTTGCCCACTAAAGTCGGTTACGACGTCGAACTGCAGTCAGGTCAAGACCCTGGCGAGCACGCAGATGAGCTTCCCTGAGACGGTTTCTGACAGTTTGCGCAAACCCACAGTTTCATCAGCTGTCTGGTCTCAGACGATCCCACAGGTGAAGTAGCCGGATGTGGAGGTCCTGGGCTGGCGTGGTTACACGTGGTCTGCGGTTGTGAGGCCAGTTGGAAGTACTGCCAAATTCTCTAAAACGACATTGGAGGCAGTTTATGGTAGAGAAATTACCATTCAATTCTCTGGCAACAGCTCTGGTGGACATTCCTGCAGTCAGCATGCCAATTGCACACTCCCTCAAAACTTGAGACATCTGTGGCATTGTGCTGTGTGACAAAAGTGCACATTTTAGAGTGGCCTTTTATTGTCCCCAGCACAAGGTGCACCTGTGTAATGATCATGCTGTTTAATCAGCTCCTTGATATGTCACACCTGTCAGGTGGATGGATTATCTTGGCAAAGGAGAAATGCTTATTAACAGGGATGTAACCAAATTTGTGCACAACATTTTAGAGAAATACGCTTTTTGTGTGTATGGAAAATTTCAGGGATCTTTTATTTCAGCTCATGAAACATGGGACCAACACTTTACATTTTTGTTCATTATAGTTAATAGACCACTAGGTCATTATCAATCAAACGTCACAATAAGGTGCAGAGCGTTCAATTTGCCTGTTGGGGGACAAGGAGATCCCCAGCTCCACTAAAACCATTAATAACGGCGTGCCGGGATTGTTAAATGAATATTAATTATTTGGTTATATCATCACCTCTTGAAGACCATAGTCAGAACTACTAATTTCTGATTATTCAACGCCAAACAATTGCACACATTATCAGAGTTATACAGCAAGGAACTGCATGCTTTTCATGATCAGTAAAAATAAATAAATCATTTATGTAATTTCAGATTTGTGAGGGTAGCCTTGAAATCTCTCAGTATTGGCCACCATTAATTGGATATTTGAGTGATATAGAATAAAAGTGAACTATACCTGACAAGTATGGGGTTTAGTGGTTTAGCTTAATTTCCCATCCTTTGTGGGCTCAAGCTGTAGAACGGGGGCATTTGCCAATATACTGTTAGCTGATAATATTTACTTTGCAAGCTACCGGTAGAAACTTTGTACAGTTGGCTAAACATACAGTTGAAGTCGGAAGTTTACAAACACTTGGAGTCATTAAAACTAGTTTTTCAACCACTCCACAAATTTCTTGTTAACAAACTATAGTTTTGGCAAGTCAGTTAGGACATCTACTTTGTGCATGACACAAGTAATTTTTCCAACAATTGTTTACAGACAGATTATTTCACTTATATTTCACTGTATCCCAATTCCAGTGGGTCAGAAGTTTACATACACTAAGTTGACCGTGCTTTTAAAGAGCTTGGAGAATTCCAGAAAATGATGTCATGGCTTTAGAAGCTTCTGATAGGCTAATTGACATCATTTGAGTCAATTGGAGGTGTACCTGTGGATGTATTCATGGCCTACCTTCAAACTCAGTGCCTCTTTGCTTGACATCATAGGAAAATCAAAAGAAATCAGCCAAGACCTCAGAAAATAAATTGTTGACCTCCACAAGTCTGGTTCATCCTTGGGAGCAATTTCCAAACGCCTGAAGGTACCACGTTCATCTGTACAAACAATAGTATGCAAGTATAAACACCTTGGGACCACGCAGCCGTCATACCGCTCAGGAAGGAGACGCGTTCTGTCTCCTAGAGATTAACGTACTTTGGTGCGAAAAGTGCAAATCAATCCCAGAACAGCAGCAAAGGACCTTGTGAAGATGCTGGAAGAAACAGGTACAAAAGTATCTAAATCCACAGTAAAATGAGTCCTATATCGACATAACCTGAAAGGCCGCTCAACAAGGAAGAAACCACTGCTCCAAAACCGCCATAAAAAAACAGACTACGGTTTGCAACTGCACATGGGGACAAAGATCGTACTTTTTGGAGAAATGTCCTCTGTTCTGATGAAACAAAAATAGAACTGTTTGGCCATAATGACCATCGTTATTTTTGGAGGAAAAAGGGGGTGACTTGCAAGCCGAAGAACACCATCCCAACCGTGAAGCACAGGGGTGGCAGCATCATGCTGTGGGGGATGCTTTGCTGCAGGAGGGACTGGTGCACTTCACAAAATGGATGGCATCATGAGGAAGGACAATTATGTGGATATATTGAAGCAACATCTCAAGACATCAGTCAGGAGGTTAAAGCTTGGTCGCAAATGGGTCTTCCAAATGGACAATGACCCCAAGAATACTTCCAAAGTTGTGGCAAAATGGCTTCAGGACAACAAAGTCAAGGTATTGGAGTGGCCATCACAAAGCCCTGACCTCAATCCTATAGAAAATATTTGGGCAGAACTGAAAAAGCGTGTGCGAGCAAGGAGGCCTACAAACCTGACTCAGTTACACCAGCTCTGTCAGGAGGAATGGGCCAAAATTCACCCAACTTATTGTGGGAAGCTTGTGGAAGGCTACCCAAAACGTTTGACCCAAGTTAAACAATTTAAAGGCAATGCTACCAAATACTAATTGAGTGTATGTAAACTTCTGACCCACTGGGAATGTGATGAAAGAAATAAAAGCTGAAATACATCACTCTACTATTATTCTGACATTTCACATTCTTAAAATAAAGTGGTGATCCTAACTGACCTAAGACAGGGAATTTTTACTAGGATTAAATGTCAGGAATTGTGAAAAACTGAGTTTAAATGTATTTGGCTAAGGTGTATGTAAACTTCCGACTTCAACTGTATAGTGGTAAGTAGATCAAACGTGCTTTTTTCTCCAACCAATGTAGGCCTAGACTTCAATCATGATTGCTGCTGACAGACAAGATAGGCTACATTGATTGATTGATGGACCACATCAAATTGGCTAGCTAGCTAATAACAGATCACATCAATATGGCTAGTTAACAAGCTAACTTTCAGGGGATAAACTAGATGGCTATATGCAAATATAGTTTGATTTGCTTGCCATCGATAGTGGTGATGACAGTAGTCCAACTGACAACTTTACCAGGCCGAAACAAAAACCTTCATTTGCCATGAGTTTTCTACAATAGTGATGTTGGCTCTAGCAAAGCCAGGGGTATATAATGTTTTCAATGGCTAATAAGACACTCACGCTAGAATCTTGTGGTAGTTCAGTGTGTTTGTCAGCTCAAGGAACTTCTGGATCTTGTCCATCACTGCAGCAGGCTCCGTCCTCAGCACTTGACCATCCAGAACCAGGATCTGAGGAACCACATTTACAAAACCACAGTATGTCAGATAGACTAGCTGAGTGGTCTCAAATTCAAATACCAACAACAACTTATACACACCCACTGTACTAATAACCATGTACATATAGACACAGACTGAATAAATCAATGTTTGTTCACATTTAACCACATGCTTATGAACAATCTGCAAACACACATGTGCATGAACATGGGACCCAGATGGACAAACCGACCTGGCTGAGGTGGTAGTGGCTAAGCCAGCGGTCCAGATGGGTGGCGTACAAGCCCGGCACCAGACAGCGGTTCTGGAGCACCCGCAGCTTGATGGGGGCGTCGCGGCCAGCAGTGATGACATCATGGAAAGTATACTTCAGGGCGACTGAGTCGTCATGTGCACGTTGGTGCTGGGGGCAGAGCAGACAGATATGACATCACAATAAGTCCACCTTGGTTTAATCCAGAGCTCTGTGTCCTTGCAAAGGGCATTCCAACTAATTTCTCACTCGTACAAACCGGTACATCACCTACTTCTGCACCAGGTTATTCGCTACTTTATTTCCAAGCTCAAGGGAAATCAGCAGTACATCTGACCTGGAAAAGGAGTGATGCTACCCTCAAGCCACCCACAGCATTTCACCCAATTGCTATCCCTATAATATAGTCTGGTGTTGGAAATGGAACAGTGGGAAGAGGTTTTACTCGGAGGGAAGGAGGCTCACCTGGTACCATGAGTAGGCCCTGTCTGCAGGGTTGATGAGGATGGTGATTATTTTGGCCTTGGGCAGGAGGGCAGCTGCCCGCCGTGCAGCCACCTCTGAGTCAAAGTAGTTGGCACTCTTCTCATAGTAAAAGTCTGAGCTTGTGTTGGAGGGTAGGGGAAAGTACTCCATGTACCTGTCAATCATGACACACAGACAGAGACAGACAGACACACAGACAGGGGTTTAAACAAGGCCACTGGACCCGATACATACACCGAGTGTACAAAACATTAGGACGCAGACTGACCAGGTGAATCCAGGTGGAAGCTACGATCCCTTATTGATGTCACATGTTAAATCCACTTCAATCAGTGTAGATGAAGGGGAGGAGATGGGTTAAAGAAGGATTTTTAAGCCTTGAGACAATTGAGACAAGGATTGCGTATGTGTGCCATTCAGAGGATGAATGGGCAAGACAAAAGATTTAAGTGCCTTTGAACGGGGTATGGTAGTAGGGGTCAAGTTCATCTACTACTTCTATGAAAGGGTGCACATACTGCCACCAGGAGTGTGTTGTCTTAACAGCTAAAAGCCAAGGTTAGTGATTTACTGCCCCATGCAGTTAATGGAATGTTTGCTCAGGAGTATAATTAATCGACTGATCTCTTCTGATGACCTGGACGGAATTATGTGATCCTTCCTTAACTCATAGGAAGTCCCACACAGTTGACTACTTCAAAAGGGTGAAAGTCCCCAATGGCGCTGTCCATGTTAAAAAAGTATTTGGGGCATGAGAGCTGTCTATCTAAGTCTATGAATACATCACAAATACCAATGTCCTACCGAGGGCTGTGGCGGTCATGAAAATTTGTCAGCCGGTGATTGTCAAGGAAATAACTGCCGGTCTCATGGTAATTGTCCGTTAATTAACGTAAACAATTAGCATCTCCTGGCTTCGATGCATAGCCTACAAACCACTGATGCAGACTTTTGTAACATCTACACTACCATTTAAAAGTTTGGACACACCTACTCATTCCAGGGTTTTTCTTTATTTTTACATTGTAGAATAATAGTGAAGACATCAAAACTATGAAATAACACAAAATACAATCATGTAGTAACCAAAAAAGTGTTAAACAAATCAAAATATATTTTATATTTGAGATTCTTCAAATAACCACCCTTTGCCTTGACAGCTATGCACACTCTTGGCATTCTCTCAATCAGCTTCATGAGGTAGTCACCTGAAATGCATTTCAATTAAGAGGTGTGCCTTATTAAAAGTTAATTTGGGGAATTTCTTTCCTTCTTTACGCGTTTGAGCCAATCAGTTGTGGTTACTACCCAACACACCTACAGAAGATAGCCCTATTTGGTAAAAGACCAAGTCCATATTATGGCAAGAACAGCTCAAATAAGCAAAGAAAAACAACAGTCCATCATTCCTTTAAGACATGAAGGTCAGTCAATACGGAACATTTCAATAACTTTGAAAATGTCTTCAAGTGCCGTTGCAAAAACCATCCAGCGCTATGATGAAACTGGCTCTCATGAGGACTGCCACAGGAATGGAAGATCCAGAGTTACCTCTGCTGCAGAGGATACGTTCATTAGTTACCAGCCTCAGAACTTGCAGCCCAAATAAATGCTTCACAGAGTTCAAGTAACAGACACATCTCAACATCAACTGTTCAGAGGAGACTGTGAATAAGGCCTTCATGGTGGAATTTCTGCAAAGAAACCACTACTAAAGGACACCAATAAGAAGAAGAGACTTGCTTGGGCCAAGAAACACGAGTAATGGACATTAGACCGGTGGAAATCTGTCCTTTGGTCTGATGAGTCCAAATTTGAGATTTTTTGGTTCCAACCGGTGTGTCTTTGTGAGACGCAGAGGAGATGAACGGATGATCTTCGCATGTGTGGTTCCTACCATGAAGCATGGAGGAGGTGTGGAGGTGCTTTGCTGGTGACACTGTCTGTGATTTATTTAGAACTCAAGGCACACTTAACCAGCATGGCTACCACAGCATTCTGCAGCGATACGCCATCCCATCTGGTTTGGGCTTAGTGGGACTATCATTTGTTTTTCAACAGGACAATGACCCAAAACACACCTCCAGGCTGTGTAAGGGCTACTTCACCAAGAAGGAGAGTGATGGAGTGCTGCATCAGATGACCTGGCCTCCACAATCCCCTGACCTCAACCAAATTGAGATGGTTTGGGATGAGTCGGTCCGCAGAGTGAAGGAAAAGCAGCCAACAAGTGCTCAGCATATGTGGGAACTCCTTCAAGACTGTTGGAAAAGCATGCCAGGTCAAGTTGGTTGAGAGAATGCCAAAAGAGTGCAAAGCTGTCATCAAGGCAAAGGGTGGCTTTTTGAAAAATCTCAATTTGTTTAACACTTTTTTGGTTACTACATGATTCCATATGTGTTATTTCATAGTTTTGATGTCTTCACTCTTATTCTACAATGTAGAAAATAGTAAAAATAAAGAAAAACCCTGGAATGAGTAGGTGTGTCCCGTGTAGCTCAGTTGGTAGAGCCTGGCGCTTGCAACGCCAGGGTTGTGGGTTCGTTTCCCACGGGGGGCCAGTATAAAAATAAATAAAAAGAATGTATGCACTCACTAACTGTAAGTCGCTCTGGATAAGAGCGTCTGCTAAATGACTAAAATGTAAATGTAAAAAATGTGTGTCCAAACTTTTGACTGGTACTGTACATTTGAAAAAGTCGAATAAATCCATGTAATATAGCCTACACCATCACAATAAATCCATTATTTATTTCAGACAGGTCTAAAGAAACATGATATGAAGAAAATGTAGTCTATTTCAGAAGAACAGAATAGCATACTCTGAGTTGTCCTTATGTTAGGTCCTGATCTGGCTATGCCATATGGCTGTGGGCTACACTAGTTAATTTAGCAGACAAGATTTGCTTAGAATTCTGTGGCATTATTTTATAGTATGAAGAATACAATTGAACATAGCTGAATAAAATAGAATGGCTATTTTCGCCAAACGATTTGAGGGAGTGCGCACATGCAGCTATTCTGTGTTGAGCGGTTAACAAAGAAAACAGGTCATCCTATATGTTTAATTTTGAGTTATTTATGTAACTTTAGTTGTGATACAAACCTTATCAAAACATATCGGCCTATGGGCTAGGCTACATGAGGTGTGGGACTATGATTTGAAAAAGTCTGGGGGCAAAAGCATGCGCTGTTTCTTTCCTTAAGCTGGGCATCATCAAGTGACTAATATTGTCACCCATCACACTCTTGATTTAATCTTGTATACTAAATAATACGTGTGTGAAATTTGTTTCGATTTAGAATGGACTATTATCATGCACTTATCTCCAAACAGGGGCAGCGGAAGAAAAAAAAGTAATCTATGCACTTAAATAGCGAATGGAGGACGCTTTTCCCGTGGTTCATTTTCATGCCAGCCAGGTAGGCTATACTCCTGTTGTAAAGAGAAGCAATGTGCTTAATATTAGGAAAGTTGAGAAAGAAATACAGTGCATTCGGAAAGTATTCAGACCACTTGAATTTTTCCACATTTTCTTATGTTACAGCCTTATTCTAAAATGGATAAAATTGTATTTTTTCCTCAATCTACACACAATACCCCATAATGACAAAGTAAAAAACAAGTTTAGACATTTTTGCAAATGTATTAAAAATTAAATATCACATTTACATAAGTATTCAGACCCTTTACTCAGTACTTTGTTGAAGCACCTTTGGCAGCGATTACAGCCTCGAGTCTTCTTGGGTATGACGCTACAAGCTTGGCACACCTGTATTTGGGGAGTTTCTCCCATTATTCTCTGCAGATCCCCTCAAGCTCTGTCAGATTGAATGGGGAGCATCGCTGCACAGCTATTTTCAGGTCTCTCCAGAGATGTTCGATTGGTTTCTTGTCCGGGCTCTGGCTGGGCCACTCAAGGACATTCAAATCAAATCAAATTTTATTTGTCACATGCGCCAAATACTTAAATGCTTAGTTACAAACCCTTCACCAACAATGCAGTTCAAGAAATAGAGTTAAGAAAATATTTACTAAATAAACTAGAGTAAAAAATAAAATAAAAGTAACACAAAATAACAATAACAAGGCTATATACAGGGGGTACCGGTTCCGAGTCAATGTGCGGGGGTACAGGTTAGTCGAGGTAATTTGTACATGTAGGCAGGGGTAAAGTGACTATGCATAGATAATAAACAGCTATGTAAATAGCCTGGGTGACCATTTTATTAATTGTTCAGCAGTCTTATGGCTTGGGGGTAGAAGCTGTTAAGGAGCCTTTTGGATCTAGACTTGGTGCTCCGGTTCCGCTTGTCATGCGGTAGCAGACAGAACAGTTTATGACTTGGGTGACTGGAGTCGGACCATTTTTTGGTCCTTCCTCTGACACCGCCTGGTATAGAGGTCCTGGATGGCAGGAAGCTTGGCCCCAGTGATGTACTGGGCCGTACGCACTACCCTCTGTAGCGCCTTACGGTCGGATGCCAAGCAGTTGTCATACCAGGCTGTGATGCAACCGGTCAGGATGCTCTCGATGGTGCAGCTGTAGAACTTTTTGAGGATCTGGTGACCCATGCCAAATCTTTTCAGTCTCCTGAGGGGGAAAAGGTGTTGTCGTGCCCTCTTCACGACTGTCTTGGTGTGTTTGGACCATGATAGTTTGTTGGTGATGTGGACACCAAGGAACTTGAAACTCTCGACCCGCTCGACTACAGCCTCGTTGATGTTAATGGGGCCTGTTCAGCCCTCCTTTTCCTGTAGTCCACAAATCAGCTCCTTTGTCTTGCTCACATTGAGGGAGAAGTTGTTGTCCTGGCACCACACTGCCAGGTCTCTGACCTTCTCCCTATAGGCTGTCTCATCGTTGCCTACCACTATTGTGTCGTCAGCAAACTTAAATGATGGTGTTGGAGTAGTGCTTGGACACGCAGTCGTGGGTGAACAGGGAGTACAGGAGGGGACTAAGCACGCACCCGAGGGGCCCCGGTGTTGAGGATCAGCGTAGCAAATGTGTTGTTGCCTACCCTTACCACCCGGGGGCTGCCCGTCAGGAAGTCCAGGATCCAGTTGCAGAGGGAGGTCTTTAGTCTCAGGGTCCTTAGCTTAGTGATGAGCTTCGTGGGCACTATGGTGTTGAACGCTGAGCTGCAGTAAATTAACAGCATTCTCACATAGGTGTTCCTTTTGTCCTAGTGGGAAAGGGCAGTGTGGAGTGTGATTGAGATTGCGTCATCTGTGGATCTGTTGGGGCGGTATGCGAATTGGAGTGGGTCTAGGGTTTCCGGGATGATGGTGTTGATGTGAGCCATGACCAGCGTTTCAAAGCACTTCATGGCTACCGACGTGAGTGCTACGGGGCGGTAGTCATTTAGGCAGGTTACCTTCGCTTTCTTGGGCACAGGGACTATGGTGGTCTGCTTGAAACATGTAGGTATTACAGACTGTCAGGGAGAGACTTGTCCCGAAGCCACTCCTGCGTTCTCTTGGCTGTGTGCTTAGGGTTGTTGTCTTGTGGGGCGAAGGTTCACCTTCCAAGTCTGAGGTCCTGAGCGCTATGGAGCAGGTTTTCATCAAGGATCTATGTACTTTGCTCCATTCATTTTTCCCTAGATCCTGACTAGTCTCCCAGTCCCTGCCGCTGAATGACATCCCCATAGAATGATGCTGCCACCATCATGCTTCACCGTAGGGATGGTGGCAGGTTTCCTCCAGATGTGACACTTGGCATTCAGGCCAAAGAGTTCAATCTTGGTTTCATCAGACCAGAGAATCTTGTTTCTCATGGTCTGAGAGTCCTTTAGGTGCCTTTTGGCAAACTCAAAGCGGGCTGTCATATTTAATCCATTTTAGAATAAGGCTGTAACGTAACAAAATGTGGAAAAAGTCAAGGGGTCTGAATACATTCCCAATGCACTGTATAGTAGGCCTAGCTTATAGTAAGCTGATGGGATCCTCCTCTTTTTAGTAGAGGCCATCACTCTGTTTTCTCACACAATTGCATAGCCTATAGAAATGTTGCGCAGCATGAGTTTATGGGCTCTCATGAAGTGTTTGATTAGATTTTCGATAACATTTGCATTGATGTCAGAGTGATTAGAGGGACAATAGAGTGCTGAGTACCAGGCAGTTAGCAAGTTTGGTAGACTACTAATGACCATCAGCAGCATCAGAGCTTGGAGAAGCCTAATTACCGTGACTAAACGGTCACGTGGAATTTGACTGCTGTCATGACTCGTGACCGCCGGTGTGGCGGTAATACGGTCACCGTAACAGCCTAGTCCTACCTAAACACAAAAGTACTTTCATTTTTCATCAATAACTATGCAATTTAATGGATAAAACATATGATTGCACCAGCATAAACCAGTCACTAGCTGAGCAGGAGTAAGAGACAGACACAGACTTGGCAGACAAGAAAGATCTTCCACAACTGAGCCCACCACACACATTCATGTCTGATTCATAAATCCAAATTGTCTGCTTTCTGTTAATCAATGATTGAGCTCAGAGGGGGTTGAACTAAAGCCTCTCCCTTTGAAGGATGAAACGTTCCCCTAAAGCCAATAATACTAACTGGAATATGTTTTAAAACTGGGCAACTCAGTTGGTTTAATATACTATGAAAAGCATGGTGGTTTACAGGAGCAATGTGTCTCCATTCATTCATGCTGCCCCCAAAATACAACCAGGAATGTTGTAAACGTGTTGGAGAAGAGGAATTAGTGCCCAACTGACTGGTGGCGATGAATATGTTAGGGTAGGACAAGGGGAATCACATACCAGTCGATGCCTCTGTGGTAGTTGTGGCCATTGAAGAATTGGATCTCCTCAAAGGTCTCCTTGCTGGGGTAGTTACTGGTCAGATCAGGATGCATCCCCAGGAACAGATACAGGGCTGTGGTGCCTGCACAGAGAACACACGTCTTCATTAGTATTGCTCATACTAATATCAAAATGTAGATAGCTACTATTAGGTGATGCAAATATAGATTTAATATAAATATACAATTTGATGTAAATGCTAAACGTGCATATTTCTGGGTAATTAGAACAGCTATTTACTACCGATCTCAAATGTGCCAAAGCTTTAAATAGCAATAAAGACCAAAACACTCAACTAAGTTAGAGATGAAGTGACAGTTAAAGAGGGGTGGTGGATGTAAAGTTGACCGAGAACGACCGTTGATCGGCCGAGCTGATATATCGGGCCGATATTGGCCTTTTCTAGTCTATCGCCTATCGGCCCTTCTCTAACTGCTTTGCCGATACACCGTCCACGTATCAAAACTGCTGCTATGCCAGCCCCCACTCACCGCCTGAGCCACAATGCCCAGTACAATGCCCAGCAAGCAGAAAGTCAGCTCATTCTCCAACAGAAAGGTGTAGTATTGAGAAACGGTTGAATTGACACAGAGACCAACATTTAACTCCTGTTGTAAATATTAGTTTAATTCACTAATAATAAGGCTTGTGTCGACGTGCATGCAATAAGCTAGTTAGCTATGCAGATAGCTATGTGACCCGTTAGCAAATATAAGGATAACTAACCCTTTCATCTGTTGGTGTTAGCTAGCTAGCTATATTAGCTACTATGCTAGCTAGCTGGCTAGATAAACATGGTGCTAAGATATCAGATAAGAGCTAATAGCCCATGTAGCTAGCTAACGTTAGCTAGTCATAATTTTGAACATTGACCAGCACAATCATATCCTAACTTGACAGTTGTATCGATTAGATGATTTCCTAATTACAGTTGATAGTCGGATTGATGTTCCGTAAATTGACAATTATAGTCGATTAGATAGCTTCCGTAAATTGACATGATAGTCAGGATAGATGATTTCCGTAATTGCAGTTGATAGTCGGTATATTTCCTTAATTGACAGTGATAGTCGGATAGATGATTTCCGTAAATGACATGGTGCGTAAGATATTCGTAAATTGACATGATAGTCCGATTAGATATTTCCAGTAATTGACAGTTATAGTCGATAATATTTCGTAAATGACAGGTTGATAGTCGGATTAGATGATTTCCGTAAATTGACAGTTGATAGTCGGATTAGATGATTTCCGTAAATTGACAGTTGATAGTCGGATTAGATGATTGTCGTAAAGGACGTGTTTTAAAATGCCTAAATATTGGTAAACATGAATATAAACTAAACTTATTTGCAAATTATCTCCTGATATACCTGATCAATATTGAAAACGCAATGCCCGCCTTGCTAAAAATATTTTCAGGATATAAAATGAACATGGAAAAAAACAAAATAATGGCAATAGGAAAAATAATAACTCATGATCTACAGCAATCCTTTAAGTGGACCACAACAAATATAAAATACTTAGGATGCTTAATAAGTAACAACAAATAACACGTTTATAAAGATAACATAATCCCATTATCAACAATATGAAAGCAGATCTAATTAAATACAACAATTTTCCCATAAATCTTACAAGTAGAATAAACCTTTTCAAAATGGCATGGCTCCAAATGTTACTTATTTATTTCTCAGTAATACCAACTACCCCACCGAAGACATTGTTTTAAGAAAGTATACTCGGTCATAACAGACTTTATATGGGCAAATAAAACTGATAGAATACAAATCTTCCAGAGGGTGGTTTTAACCTTCCAGACTAGGAATTGTTTCAACTCGCCAACCAGGGCTTTTACTTGCGACATACACGGAGTAACCAAAATATTAAGAACACCTTGAGTCACTCCCTCTGCCCTCAGAACAGACTCAATTTGTCAGGGCATGGATGCTACAAGGTGTTGAAAGCATTCCACAGGGATGCTGGCCCATGTTGACTCCAATGCTTCCCACAGTTGTGTCAAGTTGGCTGAATGTCCTTTGGGTGGTGGACCATTCTTGCTACACACAAGAAACGGTTGAGCTTGAAAAACTCTGCAACGTTGCAGTTCATGACCCAACCGGTGCGCCTAGCCCCTACTACCCATACCCCGTTGAAAGGCACTTCAATCTTTTGTCTTGCCCATTCACCCTCTGAATGGCACACACACACAATCCATGTCTCAATTGTTTCAAGGCTTTAAAATCCTTCTCTAACCTGTCTCCTCCCCTTCATCTACACTGATTGAAGTAGATTTAACAAGTGACATCAATAAGGGATCATAGCTTTCACCTGGATTCACCTGGTCAGTCTATGTCCTAATGTTTTGTCCACTCAGTGTAGTTAAATGCACTAAAGCAGAACAATTGGTACAGATGCAAATTCTCATCCCCAGAATCTTTTCACATGTCTAAAGATGAAGCTAAGAACATTAACTTCATAGTTGAGAACACTATAACTACATGGAAGTAAATGAAACGGATTCTACAAGAACCAATATCACTCCCTAAAAACACAACCCTATGGAACAATCCTTGGATAGCTTTTCAGAATTCACAGATACATTGGTCCACATGGAAAACTAAAGGCATAGAAACTGTAAATTACTTGGTAACAGGAAATACATTTATTTCCGTGACAGAATTATAAAGCAATTTTGGACTGACCAATATTTTCAAATACATGCAACTTAAAAGTTTTATATCAAGAAATGTCTATCTGAAATCTTTTTAACTTGACTGGCCTGTACAGAGCCCTGACCTCAATCCCATCGAACACCTTTGGGATGAATTTGAACGCTGGCTGCGAGCCAGGCCTAATCGCACAACATCCGTGCCAGACCTCACTAATGCTTGTGGCTGAATGGAAGCAAGTCCCCGCAGCAATGTTCCAACATCTAGTGGAAAGTCTTCCCAGAAGAGTGGAGGCTGTTATAGCAGCAAATGGGGGACCAACTCCATATTAATGCCCATGATTTTGGAATGTGATGTTCGACGAGCATATACTTTTGGCCATGTAGTGTAAGTCCCAAATTGAAGGCAATCAGATATTTGTCATCTGTTGCACCATAGACTCCACTGATCAGCCAAAACAAGCTCAACTCAATATATACACACACTCCTATTGAATATGCATTCACCTGTATTGTGAGTAGGCTATGCCATCTTAATTGACTTAGTTTATCAAGAGATTTACCATTCAAATAACATTACCACCAATGTGTTACGTAGTTAGATTGATAAAAACAAAAGTCAATGCATTGTTTCATTTTAAAATTGATACAAAAATTGGGAAATTTGTCATAAAAAATGTCAAATTTTATGATATTGAATATCAGCCTAAACTATTGGCCATCGGCCTCCATGACCCTCCAAAATCTTGTCTGTCACTAGTTGACAGACAAGATGGCTGACGTGACTATAGTGAATGTTGGTGCAATTAGGTCATTAAAATGTGGAAGTGTGTAAATTTACTCTCAGCCCCAACCCCCTAATCCATTTTTATTGAAACGATTAACAGGGCCATTTTACAGCACTCTCAGAAGGAGGGCTATCACTCCCTTAAGACCTATTCAAGAAGTTTAATTAGGCTACGCAGTAAACCTGGAATTCCCATTTACTTGGGAGCAGTCAAGGTTACAATAAAACCCAGTGACTGCCTGCCTGCCTGCCTACGGTGAACCTATAAATGAAATAAAGTGTGTGACACTCTGTAAATGGCTGCTCAGCTGCCAATAACCCATCCCTTCTCTCCAGGCTGTCAATAAACAGAGGTTCAAGGCTGCTCCATGCCAGGCAGAGAATAACTTCTCCTCCTGGTGCAGTGGATCTAGTACTGTGAGCCACACCCTGGTGTCCGTGTCCGAGAGAGCCGGGGCAGTTCGGAACAGTTTGTGCATATATTATAACAACATTTTGTGACGTTTTCGTTCATTTAGATTTTGGCAAGGTTTTTTTCCCCAGCTGTTCGTGCACACAACATTTATTCTCGAGGCAAGCCAAAGTTGGTAGCCGAAGTCTACGCCCCTTTGTCTGTGATTGGTCAACAGTAGGGATTCTTCAATGAAGTGTTTGTTGTCATTCAACAAGAGACGGCTCATTTTCATGCACGTTTTTTTCACTTGAGAAACACGGCACCAAACATCTTAGTTAGATATAGAATTGCGCGACTCTGCAAAAAACGTCAATTTATGACAGATTAATTCTGACTATTTGGAGGAAGTGTATACTGGCTAAGGCATCTCTAGATGGACAAAAAGTACTATTGACACTTTTTTTCTCGTTTTTTTTAAGCGTAGGTCTTCTAAGGGAGTAGGCTAGGCGCTTGCCGAACCGAAGCATGCTGACGCCTTAACTGGGGCATAGGTTGCGTCCCAAATGGGACACTATTCCCTATTTAGGAAAAGTAGTACACTATAAAGGGAATAGGGTACCATTTGGGACACAGACATACAGTATCTATAACCCCCTAGCACAGTGGTGTTCAACATTTTTCAGTAGGGGGGGACACCCTTTTTTTTCGGCAGAATTTCTAGACACCCAATTTTTTCACAAGAATTTCTCACGACCACACCCAAAATATGACACAATCTTAAAATTGGTACATTTTTACATCAACACCTTAAATGTATTAAACCTTAAATTTAATACATTTTCATCTCTTATCAAAATGAAAAGAAACAAAGAAATACATTTACTCAATAACATTTTATTTTTCAAATTAGCCTTCTCAAAAACATTTGTACTGTATATTTTCACATACAATATACAGTTTGAATACACTTAATTTTTATCCCCCCCCCCCCACGTTACATTTGTTTTATTTTGAATTTTGCCGACCCCACTGCAGTTCCTCCAACTTTGAATACCACTGCCCTAGCACCTGGGATGAGCTCAGGTCATGTCTCTGTCGCTAGGTTCAAACTTGCCATTGCTGTGAGTGTAGTTGCATCACTGAACTGAGGTAATCTTGTTTATGAAATGTTAGTTTTTTTGTACAATATGATATTTGTTTACGGCTCACCTGTCTTCTGTGGTCCAATGATGAGTAGCTTAGGGAATCGGTCGCATGTCTTCTCTTTGGACCAGATGTCTTTGTGCCTTTTGTCCTCACAGGGGTCCTGTAGGGACATGGTGGGCAGAATTAGTTCACCTGGAAGTTCCGTTCAGTAAACATGGAAGGAACGTATGCCTCAGGATGAGCTGCCATAGGTACGACTTGCCCCACCAGTTCAGAATATATAGCATTATTCTCTCCCTTCCACACAACACACTTCAGTATCATATCTAGCGGCAGTCTGTTTGTAATTAAAGTCTACCACTGACTTGGCCAGGGGACTTGTTACTGTGGTAAAGCAGTGAGGCCTGTGGGGGGCAGTGAGGCCTGTGGGGGCAGTGAGGCCAGTGTACTAACATGTGGCACAACGGTTACAGGCAACCGTATCCACCCTGTGGGACCAACAATGTGCCAAGGGGAGGGGTGCTTTTAATTCAGCTCAAATTAACCCAACCAGTCTAGTCTAACAGAGCTTTGGGGGAGCAGACTCAAACATTTGGTTTCTAATTCACCCCTTGCTCAGTTATGCTTGTACAAGAAGGGACTAAGGAAAGAACCCGTAATCAGCATCAGGCAGGCTGCCCATTGCTCTTCCTGAGTGGTAAAAGCCTTCAGTGTCACCATGTGGAAGAGTGTTCAGAGCAGCCCTGCAAGTCCAGCATCTGCCAACTGCCCTAAATCAATCTGTCTCCTTCCCTCCCCACTGCCATCTGCCTCATGGGTAATGAGGCGACCAAGCGATCATACTAATCCCAATACATATAACACAGTGCTGTGATGATGAGACCTCTGGACCAGGCAGGCACCAGTTTACTCTGATCATCAAAGGGAGCCGGCTGGCACACATTAACTTATCCACTCTGTGACAACTCCATATTAACTTCTACACTCTGTGACAACTCCATATTAACTTCTACACTCTGTGACAACTCAATATTGACAGTGTGAGGAACTGCCAAGATGGCAGTTGGACGTCTTAGGGAAAGAAACCGGTCTTCTTTCTGTGTTGATGGGAAACAGTGTTAGAGTGGCAGCAGAAGCACCACAAAACCACAGTTCAAAGAGCCAGCCTCTCATAGCTTTTACCCAAATAAGACTTGCACTGTAGGAAGCAATGGAGTCTGAGTCAAAAGGACTTGCACTGTAGGAAGCAATGGAGTCTGAATCAAAAGGACTTGCACTGTAGGAAGAAATGGAGTCAAAATGCAAAGTCTCTAGCTCCCGTCTACCTTCTCTAAAATGACAGCCTGGTTTATGATAGTCCCCGAGTTCCACACACCCAATGGTTTCTAATAATAATAATAATAATATGCCATTCAGCAGACGCTTTTATCCAAAGCGACTTACAGTCTTGTGTGCATACATTTTTACGTATGGGTAGTCCCGGGGATCGAACCCCCTATCCTGGCGTTACAAGCGCCATGCTCTACCAATTGAGCTACAGAGGACCACAGTTATATTAGTCCCCGAGTTCCACACACCCAATGGTTTATGATAGTCCCAGAGTTCCACACACCCAATGGTTTATGATAGTCCCAGAGTTCCACACACCCAGTGACCCACAGCTCCCATGGCCTCTCACACACACACAAACACACGCATGCACCTGCCAGATGGGGTCCCTCTCCTCGGGGAAGATCTGGAAGTAGCGCTGAGCCAGCTGCACAGGCGCCAGGGTCTGCAGCCGCAGGTTGGTCCACCTCTGGAGGAACTTCACCAGGTTCTTAAAGGTGTACAGACCCAGACGGTCGTTCCCGTAGTTGGACAGGTGGGTCATGAAGATGCTGATCTGTGAGAAAGGAATGAACACAGAAAAATGTTCAGAGAAAAAACACAATGCAATGCACTGTCTGAAATGTCACTTCCAACAACTGTTGCAAAAAATTAATTTCAGGGGGGGAAAAAAGGGTTAAAGCAACCATATAGCATTCCTCTCCTGATGCTAGTCCTGGAGATGTGTCAGGTCTCACCGGGTTGAGGAGCACCGTGAGGAAGAGCTCCCCTCCGTTAATGAGTTTGTCCAGCTCCTTGGGTCCTCCAGGATACTCGTTGTAGAAGATGGTGTGAGTAAACAGGCCACACGTCTGCCTGGGCAGCACCTACAGTACATAACACACTTCATATTACATATCAACACATCTGCACAGTGGGGAGTGTACTAATATAACCACACCCTGCTCATTCCCAGTAAACAACTCATCAAATACACAAACGTCCAAACACGGTCACTCGGTCATAAATGCTCGGTGACACTCTATGATGAACACTCTTTATTCCGATGCGCTGTTTCCACTTCACTGACAGCTCAGGCGATTAAATATAATTATCCCCGTAAACTAGAGATCACACTGTGGAGAATAAAATGTGACACAACTCTCTTTAGTCTGTCAGCGAACCCATTGCTCGAGCCAAACATAAAGCCTCTGTCCTAACATAGTTGAAACACAATACAACAACACACAATCACAGGAGCAGAACGACCTGGAAAACATCACACTGTCTGTTTAGCTTACAGTGCCTTTGGAAAATATTCAGACCCCTTGACTTTTTCCACATTTTGTTATGTTACAGCCTTACTCTAAAATGGATTAAATAAATGTTTTTCCACATCAATTTACACAGAATACCCCATAATGACAAAGCAAAAACAGGTTTGTAGAAATGTTTGCAAACTTATTAAAAATAACAACCAGAAATACCTTATTTACATAAGTATTCAGACCCTTTGCTTTGAGACTCGAAATTCATCCTTGAGATGTTTCTAAAACTTGCAGTCCACCTGTGGTAAATTAAATTGATTGGACATGATTTGGAAAGGCACACACCTATCAATATAAGGTCCCACAGTTGACAGTGCATGTCAGAGCAAAAACCAAGACATGAGGTTGAAGGAATTGTCTGTAGAGCTCCAAGAAAGGATTGTGTTGAGATCTGGGGAATGGTACAAAAACATTTCTGCATCATTGAAGGTCCCCAAGAAGACAGTGGCCTCCATCATTCTTAAATGGAAGAAGTTTGGAACCACCAAGACTCTTCCTAAAGCTGGCCGGCCGCTCGCCCAAACTGAGAAATCGGGGGAGAAGGGCCTTGGCAGGGAGGTGACCAAGAACCCGATGGTCACTCTGACAGAGCTCCAGACTTCCTCTGTGGAGGGGGCGGCAGGTAGCTTAGTGGGTAAGAGCGTTGTGCCAGTAACCGAAAGGTTGCTGGTTCTAATCCCCGAGCCGCCCCCTCCACAGAGGAAGTCTGGAGCTCTGTCAGAGTGACCATCGGGTTCTTGGTCACCTCCCCTCTGAGCCGACTAGGTAAAAAATCTGTCGATGTGCCCTTAAGCAAGGCACTTAACCCTAATTGCTATTGTAAGTCGCTCTGGATAAGAGTGTCTGCTAAATGACTAAAATCTAAAATGTTAAAAATGAGATGGGAGAACCTTCCAGAAGGACAACCATCTCTGCAGCACTCCACCAATCAGTCCTTTATGGTAGAGTGGCCAGAAGGACATCACTCCTGAGTAAAAGGCACATGACAGCCCGCTTCGAGTTTGCCAAAAGGCACCTAAAAGACTCTCAGACCATGAGAAACAAGATTCTCTGGTCTGATGAAACCAAGATTGAACTCTTTGGCCTGAATGCCAAGCGTCACATCTGGAGAAAAACTGGCACCATCCCTACGGTGAAGCATGGTGGTGGCAGCATCATGTTGCGGGGATGTTTTTCAGCGGCAGGGACTGGGAGACTAGTCAGGATCGAGGGAAAGATGAACGGAGCAAAGTACAGAGAGATCATTGATGAAAACCTGCTCCAGAGCGCTCAGGACCTCACACTGGGGCGAAGGTTTACCTTCCAACAGGACAACGACCCTAAGTACACAGCCAAGACAACGCAGGAGTGGCTTCGGGACAAGTCTCTGAATGTCCTTGAGTGGCCCAGCCAGAGCCCGGACTTGAACCCGATCGAACATCTCTGGAGAGACCTGAAAATAGCTGTGCAGCGACGCTCCCCATCCAACCTGACAGAGCTTGAGAGTATCTGCAGAGAAGAATGGGAGAAACTCCCCAAATACAGGTGTGCCAAGCTTGTAGCGTCATACCCAAGAAGACCCGAGGCTGTAATCTCTTTATAATACTTTACTTTACTGTATATCAGGCTGTGATGTTAGCTAGCTACACGGTGTATCCATCAGGCTGTGATGTTAGCTAGCTAGGGCTGGGGGTAGAAATACCAGCTAAGTACTGAGATGCTTAGGAAGAGAAGGTAAGGGAAGGCTGGATACTGACTGAAGCTCCCAGGCTTTTCTCTCTCCGCTTTTTAAACCCCCGAGCGGGTCATGGCTAACGGGCGTCACAGACTGCTGATTAAGGGGAAAAGAGGGAGTGGAAGAAGAGAGAAAAACCCCCAAGAGAGTCTCTGTTCCCAGTGAATATTTCACAGGGACGTGTTGAGATCGGAATTAACATCTCAGTGACAATATCACACTCCTCCACCAGAAAATAAATAAATAACTGAAAACTGTTGGGTCTAGAAAAGGAGCATTCTACTAGGATTATGGGGCAAAATCACAACATAGTTTGTACATGAATGAAATATAAATGTCTTTAAGCTCTAAAACGTACGAGACATTTTAGCATACATTTCTTACAGAGGCAAGCTGTTGTTTACGTCCAGGCAAGCTGTTGTTTATGTCCAGGCCAAGCAAACAGACTTAAAATTACACTTTGGAAAGATACTGTACATAAATCAGCATTGACAGACTGATTAACATTCGTCTCAAAATGTGAATGTTCTCCTCCTCACATCACAAGCCAGCAGTTGTCTTTGTCGATTTTGCCAGGGTTGTCATCGGCGGTGAGATTGTCTTGTTTAGAGTGCTAAACATAGCAATTTCCATAATGATCATTCACACTACTCCATCGGTCTGTCAGCTTGCTTTATTCCCTGGAGGGTGGGGGGGGAGGATAGAGAGCGAGAGACACTGGCTGAGAGGGGCAGTGAAAAGACCACACCATCAGGGCACGGCAGCACGGCTACTTCAGCACTACTGATGATTTCCTTCACTCTACTCAGCGCGTTGTTCCCAAGAGCTAAACTAACATGTTAAAAGCACACCAAAAAACAAAAGATTTGTCCATTCAAAGGCACACACAAGGATTGTAACACCAAGCACTTCCCAGAAGCCAAAGGTGTTAAAAACGTATATGTTTACACTCTAACCAGAGTAAATACATCAAACAGCCTAATTGAATACTTCTACTTAAATTATTGAGCACAAAACCAGGACTGAAAATATCAACTAAGATTTAGTTTCAAGAATTGCTCATTTATACGTACAGTAGAACCTAGTGTGTGTGTGTGTGAGGATAGGGGGTGATCAGGGTGATTCCTTACACTGATGCCACTGTGGTAGAAGCCTCGTCTGAAGCGGGCAGGTTTGAGGTGGGGGTACTCCTCCGTGCTGGTCACCTTGATGCCCCACACCTTCTTCCAGGCGTCGTACAGCTGGACGTGGACGGGGTACACCCCAGAGTGGTGGGGAGCCACCGCGTAGCCCATGTTGGTGGGGATGCCATGCTCCTGGGGGGGGAGACAACCAGTGGATTCAACACATTGTTAGGATTTAAATCACCCTTGCTATTAATATATACAGCACCAGTCAAAAGTTTGGACACACCTGCTCATTCCAGGGTTTTTCTTTATTTTTACTATTTTCTACATTGTAGAATAATAGTGAAGACATCAAAATTATGAAATAACACACATGGAATCATGTAGTAAGATTTGAGATTCTTCAAAGTAGCCACCCTTTGTGCACACTCTTCATGGGGGGGGGGGGGGGGGGGGGGGGGGGTTATACAGAAGATAGCCCTATTATGGCAAGAACAGCTCAAATAAGCAAAGAGAAACGACAGTCCATCATTACTTTAAGACATGAAGGTCAGTCAATCCAGAAAACTTTAAGAACTTTTAAAGTTTCTTCAAGTGCAGTTGCAAAAACCATCAAGCGCTACGATTAAACTGGCTCTCATGAGGACCGCCACAGGAAAGGAAGACCCAGAGTTACCTCTGCTGCAGAGGATAAGTTCATTAGAGTTAACTGCACCTCAGATTGGAGCCCAAATAAATGCTTCACAGAGTTCAAGTAATAGACACATCTCAACATCAACTGATCATAAGAGACTGTGTGAAATTTCTGCAAAGAAACCACTACTAAAGGACACCAATAAGAAGAAGAGACTTGCTTGGGCCAAGAAACACGAGCAATGGACATTAGACCGGTGGAAATCTGTCCTTTGGTCTGATGAGTCCATATTTGAGATTTTTGGTTCCAACCGCTGTGTCTTTGTGAGACGCAGAGGAGATGAACGAATGATCTCCGCATGTGTGGTTCCTACCGTGAAGCATGGAGGTTTGATGGTGACACTGTTGGTGATTTATTTAGAATTCAAGGCACACTTAACCAGCATGACTATCACAGCATTCTGCAGCGATACACCATCCCATCTGGTTTGCGCTTAGTGTGACTATCATTTGTTTTTCAACAGGACAACGACCCAAAAAACACATCCAGGCTGTGTAAGGGCTATTTGACCAAGGAGAGTGATGGAGTCCTGCATCAGATGACCTGGCCTCCACAATCACCCGACCTCAACCCAATTGAGATGGTTTGGGATGAGTTGGACCGCAGAGTGAAGGAAAAGCAGCCAACAAGTGCTCAGCATATGTGGAAACTCCTTCAAGACTGTTGGAAAAGCATTCCTCATGAAGCTGGTTGAGAGACTGCCAAGAGTGTGCAGAGCTGCCATCAAGGCAAAGGGTGGCTACTTTGAAGAATCTCAAATATAAAATATATTTTGATTTGTTTAACACTTGTTTGGTTACTACATGACTCCATGTGGTTTTCATAGTTTTGATGTCTTCACTATTATTCTACAATGTAGAAAATAGTAAAAATAAAGAAAAACCCTGGAATGAGTAGGTGTGTCCAAACCTTTGACTGGTACTGTGTGTGTATATATATATATATATATATATATATATATATATATATATACACACACACACACACACACACACACACACACACACACACATACATACATACATACAGTGGCTTGCTTAAGTATTCACCCCCCTTGGCATTTTTCCTATTTTGTTGCTTTACAACCTGGAATTAAAATTGATTTTTGGGGGGTTTGTATGATTTGATTTCAACAACATGCCTACCACTTTGAAGATGCAAAATATTTGTTATTGTGAAACAAACAAAAAAACGGAAAACTTGAGCGTGCATAACTATTCACCCCCCCCAAAGTCAATACTTTGTAGAGCCACCTTTTGCAGCAATTACAGTTGCAAGTCTCTTGGGGTGTCTCTATAAGCTTGGCACATCAAGCCACTGAGATTCTTGCCCATTCTTCAAGGCAAAACTGCTCCAGCTCCTTCAAGTTGGATGGGTTCCGCTGGTGTACAGTCATACCACAGATTCTCAATTGGATTGAGGTCTGGGATTTGACTAGGCCATTCCAAGACATTTAAATGTTTCTTTAGCAGTATGCTTTAGCAGTATGCTTAGGGTCATTGTCCTGCTGAAAGGTGAACCTCCGTCCCAGTCTCAAATCTCTGGAAGACTGAAACAGGTTTCCCTCAAGAATTTCCATGTATTTAGTGCCATCCATCATTCCTTCAATTCTGACCAGTTTCCCAGTCACTGCCGATGAAAAACATCCCCACAGCATGCTGCCACCACCATGCTCCATGCTTCACTGTGGGGATGGTGTTCTCGGGGTGATAAGAGGTGTTGGGTTTGCGCCAGACATAGCGTTTTCCTTGATGGCCAAAAAGCTCAATTTTAGTCTCATCTGACCAGAGTACCTTCTTCCATATGTTTGGGGAGTCTCCCACATGCCTTTTAGCGAACACCAAACGTGTTTGCCTATTCTTTTCTTTAAGCAATGGCTTTTTTCTGGCCACTCTTCCGTAAAGCCCAGTTCTGTGGAGTGTACGGCTTAAAGTGGTCCTATGGACAGATACTCCAATCTCCGCTGTGGAGCTTTGCAGCTCCTTCAGGGTTATCTTTGGTCTCTTTGTTGCCTCTCTGATTAATGCCCTCCTTGCCTGGTCCGTGAGTTTTGGTGGGTGGCCCTCTCTTGGCAGGTTTGTTGTGGTGCCATATTCTTTCAATTTTTTAATAATGGATTTAATGGTGCTCCGTGGGATGTTCAACCCCGATCTGTAGTTCTCCACAACTTTGTCCCTGACCTGTTTGGAGAGCTCCTTGGTCTTCATGGTGCCGCTTGCTTGGTGGTACCCCTTGCTTAGTGGTGTTGCAGACTCGTGGGGCCTTTCAGAACAGGTGTATATATACACTGAGATCATGTGACACTTAGATTGCACACAGATGGCCTTTATTTAACTAACTACGTGATTTATGAAGGTAATTGGTTGCACCAGATCTTATTTAGGTGTTTCATAGCAAAGGGGGTGAATACATATGCACGCACCACTTTTCCGTTATTTTTTTTTTAGAATTTTTTGAAACAAGTTATTTTTCATTTCACTTCACCAACATATATTTTTATAATGTTTCTTTTTTTAAATCAACCATAATTCTAACATTCAAACAGGAATGTACAATTTTTTTTTACAACCACCAAGCTACTAGTACCAGCAGGACCTGACCCCCAGTCAGTGTAGAGCAGGACCCCCCCAACCTACCTGTGCAAACCTCCTGTTGAGGAGCATCTGTTCAGCCAGCACTGACTGGTTGTGGAAGAGGTGGGGCTGCATGTGACTCCACATGTGGGGGAACCACCAGAACACCTTCCCATAGGAGAGGAGCAGGTCGTCCCCCAGGTCCTCCTCATCCGTACCTGGAAAATAGAGACATGGATGGGGTTGAGCCTCGTCTACACATGGCATGGGCATAGGTGTGTGGTGGTGTTGAAAACCTATAGATATATGTGCTGGGAAAATCTAAAGCAAGTTAATTATATTCATGCAATAATTGATTTGGACATTTGATCGATGCATTTTCTTGGTGAAGTAACTGATGATCTAATCTCAGTTAACCCAGAACTAAAATCACGCGTAATTTGGTCAGATGTTTATGTAGTCTGTCCACAAGAGATTACTGATGACCAAGAGTATTATCTGTGGTCCTGTGTAGCTCAAGTGGTAGAGCACGGCGCTTGTAACGCCAGGGTAGTGGGTTCGATCCCCGGGACCACCCATACGTAAAAATTTATGCGCACATGACTAAGTCGCTTTGGATAAAAGCGTCTGCTAAATGGCATATTATTATTATTATTATTATCTGGACTCAGATTGTTGGTCACGAGACATTGTATTTGATCCCCCTGGGTGTTATAGTCATGCAGTGGGTTTGTTCCAGTCCACCCACCAGTATGGAAGAACTTCCCAGAGAAACCCAGGTTGAAGGTGAAGTTGGGGACGGAGGTTCGCAGGTCATTCTGGGTCTCCAGTAGGGCCTGAACAGAAGAAGGGAGAGGCTGTTAAATACATATACAGTGCCTTCAGAAAGTATTCAGACCCCTTGACTTCTTCCACATGTTGTTACGTTACAGCCTTATTCTAAAATTGATTAAATTGCCCCCCCCCCCCCCCCCCCATCAATCTACACACAATAACGACAAAGCAAAAACAGGTTTTTAGAAATGTTGGCTAATTTATAATAAAAAATATATATATATGCAGTTGAAGTCGGAAGTTTACATACACCTTAGCCAAATACATTTAAACTCAGTTTTTCACAATTCCTGACATTTAATCCTACTAAAAATTCCCTGTCTTAGGTCAGTTAGGATCACCACTTTATTTTAAGAATGTGAAATGTCAGAATAATAGTAGAGAGAATTAGTTATTTCAGCTTTTATTTCTTTCATCACATTCCCAGTGGGTCAGAAGTTACATACACTCAATTACTATTTGGTAGCATTGCCTTTAAATTGTTTTACTTGGGTCAAACGTTTCAGGTAGCCTTCCACAAGCTTCCCACAATAAGTTGGGTGAATTTTGGCCCATTCCTCCTGACAGAGCTGGTGTAACTAAGTCAGGTTTGTAGGCCTCCTTGCTCGCACACGCTTTTTCAGTTCTGCCCACAGATTTTCTATAAGATTGAGGTCAGGGCTTTGTGATGGCCACTCCAATACCTTGACTTTGTTGTCCTTAAGCCACTTTGCCACAACTTTGGAAGTATGCTTGGGGTCATTGTCCATTTGGAAGACCCGTTTGAGACCAAGCTTTAACTTCCTGACTGATGTCTTGAGATGTTGCTTCAATATATCCACATACGTTTCCTTCCTCATGATGCCATCTATTTTATGAAGTGCAGCAGCCCCTCCTGCAGCAAACACCCCCACAGCATGATGCTGCCACCCCCGTGCTTCACGGTTGGGATGATGTTCTTCGGCTTGCAAGCACCCCCTTTTTCCTCCAAACATAACGATGGTCATTATGGCCAAACAGTTCTATTTTTGTTTCATCAGAACAGAGGACATTTATCCAAAAAGTACGATCTTTAAAATTAAAAAATATTGTACCTTTATTTAACTAGGCAAGTCAGTTAAGAACACATTTTTAATTTACAATGACTGCCTACACCGGCCAAACCCCGACGACGCTTTTGTGTGCCGCCCCTTTGTCCTCATGTGCAGTTGAAAACCGTAGTCTGGCTTTTTTATGGCGGTTTTGGAGCAGTGGCTTCTTCCTCGCTGAGCGGCCTTTCAGGTTATTTCGATATAGGACTCGTTTTACTGTGGATATAGATACTTTTGTACCTGTTTCCTCCTCTGTCCTCCACTCGTTACCTGTATTAATGGCACCTGTTTGAACTTGTTATCAGTATAAAAGACACCTGTCCACAACCTCAAACAGTCACACTCCAAACTCCACTATGGCCACTATGGCCAAACTCCACTATGGCCAAGACCAAAGAGCTGTCAAAGGACACCAGAAACAAAATTGTAGACCTGCACCAGGCTGGGAAGACTGAATCTGCAATAGGTAAGCAGCTTGGTTTGAAGAAATCAACTGTGGGAGCAATTATTAGGAAATGGAAGACATACAAGACCACTGATAATCTCCCTCGATCTGGGGCTCCACGCAAGATCTCACCCCGTGGGGTCAAAATGATCACAAGAACGGTGAGCAAAAATCCCAGAACCACACGGGGGGACCTAGTGAATGACCTGCAGAGAGCTGGGACCAAAGTAACAAAGCCTACCATCAGTAACACACTACGCCGCCAGGGACTCAAATCCTGCAGTGCCAGACGTGTCCCCCTGCTTAAGCCAGTACATGTCCAGGCCCGTCTGAAGTTTGTTAGAGTGCATTTGGATGATCCAGAAGAGGATTGGGAGAATGTCATATGGTCAGATGAAACCAAAATAGAACTTTTTGGTAAAAACTCAACTCGTAGTGTTTGGAGGACAAAGAATGCTGAGTTGCATCCAAAGAACACCATACCTACTGTGAAGCATGGGGGTGGAAACATCATGCTTTGGGGCTGTTTTTCTGCAAAAGGACCAGGACGACTGATCCGTGTAAAGGAAATAATGAATGGGGCCATGTATCATGAGATTTTGAGTGAAAACCTCCTTCCATCAGCAAGGGCATTGAAGATGAAGCGTGGCTGGGTCTTTCAGCATGACAATGATCCCAAACACACCGCCCGGGCAACGAAGGAGTGGCTTCGTAAGAAGCATTTCAAGGTCCTGGAGTGGCCTAGCCAGTCTCCAGATCTCAACCCCATAGAAAATCTTTGGAGGGAGTTGAAAGTCTGTGTTGCCCAGCGACAGCCCCAAAACATCACTGCTCTAGAGGAGATCTGCATGGAGGAATGGGCCAAAATACCAGCAACAGTGTGTGAAAACCTTGTGAAGACTTACAGAAAACATTTGACCTGTGTCATTGCCAACAAAGGGTATACAACAAAGTATTGAGAAACTTTTGTTATTGACCAAATACTTATTTTCCACCATAATTTGCAAATAAATTCATTAAAAATCCTACAATGTGATTTTCTGGGAAAGAAAATCTCATTTTGTCTGTCATAGTTGACGTGTACCTATGATGAAAATTACAGGCCTCTCTCATCTTTTTAAGTGGGATAACTTGCACAATTGGTGGCTGACTAAATACTTTTTTTCCCCACTGTACATACACACACACACACACACACACACACACACACACACGGGGGATTGGAAGTGATGCAGAGAATTACATTTTGGATAAAAGCGTCTGCTAAATGGCATATTATTATTATTATTATTACATTGATGGAAGTTACAATCTGCAATATTAAGCTGATCTACCCCCTAAAGAATAACAAAATAAAAAATAAAAAAAGTTTGTTCGAACCTCTCCAGTTAACTGTTAATAAACAATGATTAATTTAAGATTGACTTGGAGTGTCCCTGTGTAGAAAGTGCTTTGTAGTCGTTCCTTTATTTTCATTCCTTTCCTTTACTTTAGTAGTAAATATTTCAGCTTTTATTTTCATTGTTTATTTGTTTTTTCCTGTGAAGCACATTGCGTTGCATTCCATGTCTGAAATGTGCTTCATTTACTCTAAGAAGCACCTTAGTTAGCAGTAGTATTCAGGCCACACATTTCCCTCCTGCATAGACATAAAAGTGCACTCTGTCCCCCTCTGACAAACCGTCCTCATCCCTCTATGCTTCATTACCCTGTCCATATTCACTTTGCATCTGGGTCTATTTGTTTTTAGGTTTAGTCTCTCTCGCGCCCCCCTCCCCCCTCCCCCCATTTCTCCCGCTCCGCCACAGCTCCATCAGCGCCTGATTCATATTTAACACTGTTGCGGCCCGCCGACATACAAGACAACTCAATAAGAGCGCATTGATTGGGTTTATGTTTCATTCCCCCCCCTTCACTGAACGTCACTCCCTCGCCAAGAACAAGAACAAGAAGAAGAAGAAGAAGCTGTATCAAATATTCATGCTGCAGGCGAGTCTGCGGACGCCCTTTGAACAGCGACTCATCACACAAAGCAAAGCTGGAGAAGATAGTGGTTAAGCTGAGCTTCATACCCTACTGCTGTATGGAAAAAGACCGTCCTCTGGGTTGGAGGGAGAAAGAGAACGATGTGGAAGAACGCTGGAGGACGGCTCCTGACCTTTAGTTTGTAATAAGTGTTTGTCTGAGCTGAGGAGGCTATGTGGTGGGAATCCAGTAACACAGAGTCTTATTCTACTTTCAAAAGAGGCATTGGATGGAAATACAGGAAAATATATTCTGTTCCACTCCGCTGCACTCTAATCCTTCCTCTCCCCCTCCATCCTTCTCTCTCTCTGTCTGTGACAGGATAGACAGTGACAAAGGCAGGGTGAGACTGCCATGACAGTCAGGCCAGCTGTGTCCCCATGTCCTCAAGTCAGGCCCCCCTGGGGACAGACATGTTGGTGACTGCACCTGTGCCCCTGTGTCACCGTCACATCTGCACAGCTCTGGCATGGGCTCAGTCCTACATAGTAATGTCACCTGGCTGTCTCACTCTCCATCTCCTTCCATCACAGTCAGCTCTGGCACTGACACCTGCACGACTCACTGTTACTCACCATTACACAGTATGGCTCTCTGGGAAGTATGTATGCACCAGCAATAGAATAGGGCAGATTGCGATGCAACAGATAATGAGCGATTACACACACAAACCCCCCTTACAAAGACCTTTCCCAATCCACTGCGGATGCTTACCTTGACATCTGAGACCTTCATGCGGGTGCCCTCCTTGCCCACGAAGATGTCATCGATGTCCACCAGCAGGTAGCGATCTAGAGACAGAGACAGCCTCTTGCCAGTAAGGAAGGACACAGCGTCAACAAACACCAGCTTATGCAGCCAGAAGTTGAGGTTGTTGCCGAAGAGCACCCGTTGGATGCCGTCGTGGAGCCCAAGGTCCTGGACCACAGAGGCATGGAGGGGGCTGCTGCCCATCCCTGTCCCCGCACCGGACAGGCCCAGGTCAGGCACCCGGGTCCTCGCTAGGAGAACAGGCTCGTAGGTGGAGTGGTTGGACTGGAAGACGGTCCAGTCGTCTCCGGGTAGGGGGCCTCGCTCCACCTCCCGGGCCTTAGTGATGAGGAGCAGGGGAGACTTGGGGTTGACGCTGCAGTCCTTCAGGCCCAGGTTGGAATGGAGAAAGAGAGGGAAGCCCTTCAACTGGGCACTGAGTAGGCTGTTCTCATTGGCCTGGGAGAGAGGACAGGGGAGAGATGGAGCTAGGTCAAGTCAGCTGCATTTCAGTTTACAGTTAGTTTCCTGCTGAAAACATTTGCACACTTTATCCTTGAGATGATTATATAAAACTGCCAATGTTACTTCCAATTCTCCAACACACAATAGACACTGATTCAGAGATTCATTACCAAAGAGGTAAAGGCTCTGTAATTCCCATAAGTGTGGCTATGCATGGGTCGTGGTATGTGTGTAAATCTCTGTGTTTGTGTGCAGGCAGCCTAGCGATTAAGCGCCGAAAGGTTGCTGGTTCGAATGCCCAAGACGGCAAGGCAGTTAACCCCCAACAACAGCTGGTCCCCGGATGCCGATGATGTGGACCCATAACTGCTGTATTGATTGGTGATTAACAGCATTTGGCGATTCTCAACAATCAATCACAGTCACAGCAGCCCCAGACAGCGAGTCATCCTGACCCTGTCAGACTCCCATGCAAACCAAACAAGCAAACCATCATTCAGTGGTTTAGCAGATGCTACTTGGTGCTCAGACCCACTGGCAATATCGGACTTTAGAGAATAGGACTTACTATGCATCTATCCGTCTGGATATTGACTTAAGTAATTCAAAATCACAAGCAATATTGGCCTATAGCTAGTAGGTATACCTCTCAGTCAGATAGATATAGGGACCAGGGTGGTTATCACCTATAGCTAGTAGGTATACCTCTCAGTCAGATAGATATAGGGACCAGGGTGGTTATCACCTATAGCTAGTAGGTATACCTCTCAGTCAGATAGATATAGGGACCAGGGTGGTTATCACCTATAGCTAGTAGGTATACCTCTCAGTCAGATAGATATAGGGACCAGGGTGGTTATCACCTATAGCTAGTAGGTATACCTCTCAGTCAGATAGATATAGGGACCAGGGTGGTTATCACCTATAGCTAGTAGGTATACCTCTCAGTCAGATAGATATAGGGACCAGGGTGGTTATCACCTATAGCTAGTAGGTATACCTCTCAGTCAGATAGATATAGGGACCAGGGTGGTTATCACCTATAGCTAGTAGGTATACCTCTCAGTCAGATAGATATAGGGACCAGGGTGGTTATTACATTTACGTCATTTAGCAGACGCTCTTATCCAGAGCGACTTACATGAGCAATTAGGGTTAAGTGCCTTGCTCAAGGGCAAATCGGCAGATTTTTCACCTAGTCGGCTCGGGGATTAGAACCAGCGACCTTTCGATTACTGGCACAACGCTCTTAGCCACTAAGCTACCTGCCGCCCAGGTAGGTTATCACCTATAGCTAGTAGGTATACCTCTCAGTCAGATAGATATAGGGACCAGGGTGGTTATCACCTATAGCTAGTAGGTATACCTCTCAGTCAGATAGATATAGGGACCGGGGTGGTTATCACCTATAGCTAGTAGGTATACCTCTCAGTCAGATAGATATAGGGACCAGGGTGGTTATCACCTATAGCTAGTAGGTATACCTCTCAGTCAGATAGATATAGGGACCGGGGTGGTTATCACCTATAGCTAGTAGGTATACCTCTCAGTCAGATAGATATAGGGACCAGGGTGGTTATCACCTATAGCTAGTAGGTATACCTCTCAGTCAGATAGATATAGGGACCAGGGTGGTTATCACCTATAGCTAGTAGGTATACCTCTCAGTCAGATAGATATAGGGACCAGGGTGGTTATCACCTATAGCTAGTAGGTATACCTCTCAGTCAGATAGATATAGGGACCAGGGTGGTTATCACCTATAGCTAGTAGGTATACCTCTCAGTCAGATAGATATAGGGACCAGGGTGGTTATCACCTATAGCTAGTAGGTATACCTCTCAGTCAGAAAGATATAGGGACCAGGGTGGTTAACACCTATTATACCTTGGTGTGTCATGGCAACATGGCTACTAGCTCAGGGATACTAAGGAGGTGATTGACCAAATGGCCACAAACAGCAGGAAAACAGCAGGAAAAGGGGCAGTTCTTAATATAGCCTAACCCTGGGTGAATGAGGATACTGACTCTAGTGCTAGTTTAGGAGGGGAGGATCTATTCCAATTATACAGCAACAACATGGATATGGGATTAAGCTCAATGACTAATGGGAGGATGAGAGTGGCTTAAAGCAGCCCCTATCCCCTGCCTTAGTGTAATTACCCTGTTCCAGTGCTCTGGGATCTACCCTGTAGTTATAACAGCCCTGTTCTAGTGCTCTGGGATCTACCCTGTAGTTATAACAGCCCTGTTCTAGTGCTCTGGGATCTACCCTGTAGTTATTACAGCCCTGTTCCAGTGCTCTGGGATCTACCCTGTAGTTATAACAGCCCTGTTCTAGTGCTCTGGGATCTACCCTGTAGTTATTACAGCCCTGTTCTAGTGCTCTGGGATCTACCCTGTAGTTATTACAGCCCTGTTCTAGTGCTCTGGGATCTACCCTGTAGTTATTACAGCCCTGTTCTAGTGCTCTGGGATCTACCCTGTAGTTATTACAGCCCTGTTCTAGTGCTCTGGGATCTACCCTGTAGTTATAACAGCCCTGTTCTAGTGCTCTGGGATCTACCCTGTAGTTATTACAGCCCTGTTCTAGTGCTCTGGGATCTACCCTGTAGTTATTACAGCCCTGTTCTAGTGCTCTGGGATCTACCCTGTAGTTATTACAGCCCTGTTCCAGTGCTCTGGGATCTACCCTGTAGTTATTACAGCCCTGTTCCAGTGCTCTGGGATCTACCCTGTAGTTATTACAGCCCTGTTCTAGTGCTCTGGGATCTACCCTGTAGTTATAACAGCCCTGTTCTAGTGCTCTGGGATCTACCCTGTAGTTATTACAGCCCTGTTCTAGTGCTCTGGGATCTACCCTGTAGTTATTACAGCCCTGTTCTAGTGCTCTGGGATCTACCCTGTAGTTATAACAGCCCTGTTCTAGTGCTCTGGGATCTACCCTGTAGTTATTACAGCCCTGTTCTAGTGCTCTGGGATCTACCCTGTAGTTATTACAGCCCTGTTCTAGTGCTCTGGGATCTACCCTGTAGTTATAACTGCCCTGCTCGAGTGCTCTGGGACCAGGCTGGGCGAGGCCATTTGGTCCCAGTGTAGTGGTTCTAACAGGTGGGTGTTCACTTCAGACCCGACCATGGAGAATCAGGCTGAAGGTACTGTAGCAGCCAAGCAGCTAAATCCCACTCCTGCCGAATTTGCTGAGCCATGTTCCAGTGGGGCCATTATCAGCTGAGCAATGAGCCATGAAAGGACCACCGTACTTAAGGAACGGCAGGGTAGTAGCCAACCACAGCATGGCAAACAACCACAGGCACAGACTCTGTTGATAAACCTCTGTGTGTGTGTGTGTGTGTGTGTATTGTATTATACTGTACTCGCTGATCTTGGAGGTAGACTTCCAGGTTAGACGACACCATCAAGGCGGAACCTGCCCGCCTTGATGGTGTCATTTAAAATTAAGTCATTTAAAATTAACAAGCGCATATTTCAATCAGAAGCTTTTATCGCAAACCACAGAATTCCCCCTCGGCTTCAGGGCTGTTCACAATAGAAAAAAATGAAGGTTTTTCTAGTCATTTGACTATGTGCTTAGACAAACCAATCTAGGTGTATAATTTCTATAGCTTCACAGGCATCTTTATTTTACTACCGTTTCTTAGGACCTATTGTTTGTTTACATTTTACATTTTAGTCATTTAGCTCTTATCCAGAGCGACTTACAGTTAGTGAGTGCATACATTTTCATACTGGCCCCCCGTGGGAAACGAACCCACAACTCTGGCATTGCAAGCGCCATGCTCTACCAACTGAGCTACAGGGGTTTACACAGCTGATTAAAGATACTTAAGAGTGATAAGCAATGTACACCAACCTTACCAGCCTGGGTTGCAATCAGTGACTGGCTCTCATCTTAAAAAGAAGTCTAGAGTACCCACTTCATACTAACCTTAAAGAAGCCTATGATGCCCACTCCGTACTCCACACAGTACTTGTCCAGCAGGTCTCTGTTCCAAGCGTCCAGGTTGACGTACTTCAGGATGTTTTCGTAGATGACCAGCGTGAAACGGCCTCGGTCCTTGTCTGTCAGGGTGGGCATGTCCCCCTTCCCCGGGGCCATCTCGGTTCGGTAGAGGAAGCGTCCAGACTCCAGGATGGCCACAACGTCCTGTCCCAGCTGGGAGTACAGGCTCTCAACAAACACCAGCACCACAGGGTCGGTGCGCAACACGTCTGAGGGCCTGGCTGTGCGTGGAGGGAGCGCCCGGGAGGAGGTGGGGGGCGTGGCGGCCCGGGGGTCGTCCCAGTCGGCAGTGCCCTCCTCCGGCCCTCCCATGCCCACCCCCGCCGCCGGCTCCAGCTCCCGCTTGACTCCGTAGAGGAAGTAGGCGGAGACCAGGACGCTCACCATACAGAAGAGGAAGAGGAGCAGCAGGCTGGTCTGGAGACTGAAGGAGTGAGACTGACGGAAGAGCCGCCGGAGGCGACCGCATGACGGCAGCAACATCATCCCACGCAGACTCAGTGCCAGAGTGCACGGCGAAAACAATCAGAATGTAACGGTAGTTTAAGAGGTGGCAGAGATTGTTCTTCAAAAATATAACAGGCTCCTCCACATCACATACTCATGTCACCATTGCCGAGGGGTGGTGGGAGCAACATAGGCAGGGGACACCATCAGTGTGGGTGGGTGGCTCTCTGGCAGACATGGATGTGTGCCTTCACCCCATCCACCAGCCCCCCTGCCCTCCCCACCCCTCCACCCCCCTCCTGCTCGAAGTCCTGGGGCCCTCTGCAGAGAGACAAAAGGTGGTGACGGAAGATGGTTCTCTGGGGTCACACGGGTGTTCCAGCAAGGTGCTGCTCTTCCAGTAGGTCATCCCCAAAACATTATCCTGGAGACCTGGAGGACAAAGACAAATACACAGAGATTAGAACAGGACTGTTCATTGTTCCAGATATACACACAGCGAGATCAGAACAGGACTGTTCATTGTTCCAGATATACACACAGCGAGATCAGAACAGGACTGTTCATTGTTCCAGATATACACACAGCGAGATCAGAACAGGACTGTTCCAGATATACACACAGCGAGATCAGAACAGGATTGTTCATTGTTCCAGATATACACAGAGATCAGAACAGGACTGTTCATTGTTCCAGATATACACAGCGAGATCAGAACAGGACTGTTCATTGTTCCAGATATACACAGCGAGATCAGAACAGGACTGTTCATTGTTCCAGATATACACACAGCGAGATCAGAACAGGACTGTTCATTGTTCCAGATACACACATAGATTAGAACAGGAAATGATCTGCAGAGAAGAATGGGAGACTCTACCCAGATACAGGTGTGCCAAGCTTGTAGCGCCATACCCAAGAAGACTCGAAGCTGTAATCGCTGTTTATTTATTTTATTTGTTATTTTTTAGTCATTTAGCAGACGCTCTTATCCAGAGCGACTTACATTTCAACAAAGTACTGAGTAAAGGGTCTGAATACCTATGTAAATGTGATATTTCTGGAGGGGGGTTTTTTGTTTCTGAAAACCAGTTTTTGCTTTGTCATTATGGGGTATTGTGTGTAGATTGATGGGGGGAGAAACAATTTAATCCATTTTAGAATAAGGTTGTAACGTAAAAATGTTTTGGGAAAAAGTCAAGGGGTCTGAATACTTTCCGAATGCACTGTATGTGACGGGATGTATGACATTATGTTCAGTATGTGGATAGAATATTAAGTATATCTGTAGGATAGAATAGTGTACAGTTGAAGTCGGAAGTTTACATACACCTTAGCCAAATACATTTAAACTCAGTTTTTCACAATTCCTGACATATAATCCTAGTAAAAATTCCCTGTCTTAGGTCAGTTAGGATCACCACTTTATTTTAAGAATGTGAAATGTCAGAATAATAGTAGAGAGAATGATTTATTTCAGCTTTTATTTATTTCATCACATTCCCAGTGGGTCAGAAGTTTACATACAGTGGGGAAAAAAAGTATTTAGTCAGCCACCAATTGTGCAAGTTCTCCCACTTAAAAAGATGAGAGAGGCCTGTAATTTTCATCATAGGTACACGTCAACTATGAAAGACAAATTGAGAAAAAAAAATCCAGAAAATCACATTGTAGGATTTTTTATGAATTTATTTGCAAATTATAGGGGAAAATAAGTATTTGGTCACCTACAAACAAGCAAGATTTCTGGCTCTCACAGACTTGTAACTTCTTCTTTAAGAGGCTCCTCTGTCCTCCACTCGTTACCTGTATTAATGGCATCTGTTTGAACTTGTTATCAGTATAAAAGACACCTGTCCACAACCTCAAACAGTCACACTCCAAACTCCACTATGGCCAAGACCAAAGAGCTGACAAAGGACACCAGAAACAAAATTGTAGACCTGCACCAGGCTGGGAAGACTGAATCTGCAATAGGTAAGCAGCTTGGTTTGAAGAAATCAACTGTGGGAGCAATTATTAGGAAATGGAAGACATACAAGACCACTGATAATCTCCCTCGATCTGGGGCTCCACGCAAGATCTCACCCCGTGGGGTCAAAATGATCACAAGAACGGTGAGCAAAAATCCCAGAACCACACGGGGGGACCTAGTGAATGACCTGCAGAGAGCTGGGACCAAAGTAAGAAAGCCTACCATCAGTAACACACTACGCCGCCAGGGACTCAAATCTTGCAGTGAAAGACGTGTCCGCCTGCTTAAGCCAGTACATGTCCAGGGCTGTCTGAAGTTTGCTAGAGTGCATTTGGATGATCCAGAAGAGGATTGGGAGAATGTCATATGGTCAGATGAAACCAAAATAGAACTTTTTGGTAAAAACTCAACTCGTCGTGTTTGGAGGACAAAGAATGCTGAGTTGCATCCAAAGAACACCATACCTACTGTGAAGTATGGGGGTGGAAACATCATGCTTTGGGGCTGTTTTTCTGCAAAGGGACCAGGACGACTGATCCGTGTAAAGGAACGAATGAATGGGGCCATGTATCGTGAGATTTTGAGTGAAAACCTCCTTCCATCAGCAAGGGCATTGAAGATGAAACGTGGCTGGGTCTTTCAGCATGACAATGATCCCAAACACACCGCCCGGGCAATGAAGGAGTGGCTTCTTATGAAGCATTTCAAGGTCCTGGAGTGGCCTAGCCAGTCTCCTGATCTCAACCCCATAGAAAATCTTTGGAGGGAGTTGAAAGTCTGTGTTGCCCATGGACAGCCCCAAAACATCACTGCTCTAGAGGAGATCTGCATGGAGGAATGGGCCAAAATACCAGCAACAGTGTGTGAAAACCTTGTGAAGACTTACAGAAAACGTTTGACCTGTGTCATTGCCAACAAAGGGTATATAACAAAGTATTGAGAAACTTTTGTTATTGACCAAATACTTATTTTCCACCATAATTTGCAAATAAATTCATTAAAAATCCTACAATGTGATTTTCTGGAATTTTTTTTCTCATTTTGTATGTCATAGTTGACGTGTACCTATGATGAAAATTACAGGCCTCTCTCATCTTTTTAAGTGGGAGAACTTGCACAATTGGTGGCTGACTAAATACTTTTTTTCCCCACTGTACACTCAATTAGTATTTGGTAGCATTGCCTTTAAATTGTTTCACTTGGGTCAAACGTTTCAGGTAGCCTTCCACAAGCTTCCCACAATAAGTTGGGTGAATTTTGGCCCATTCCTCCTGACAGAGCTGGTGTAACTGAGTCAGGTTTGTAGGCCTCCTTGCTCGCACATGCCTTTTCAGTTCTGCCCACAAATGTTCTATAGGATTGAGGTCAGGGCTTTGTGATGGCCACTCCAATACCTTGACTTTGTTGTCCTTAAGCCATTTTGCCACAACTTTTGAAGTATGCTTGGGGTCAACTTCCTGACTGATGTCTTGAGATGTTGCTTCAATATATCCACATCATTTTCCTTCCTCATGATAACATCTATTTTGTGAAGTGCACCAGTCCCTCCTGCAGCAAAGCACCCCCACAGCATGATACTGCCACCCCCGTGCTTCACGGTTGGAATGGTGTACTTCGGCTTTTAAGCGTTCCCCCTTTTCCTCCAAACATAACGATGGTCATTATGGCCAAACAGTTCTATTTTTGTTTCATCAGCAGACCGCACCACCCTCTGGAGAGCCCTGCAGTTACGGGCGGTGCAGTTGAGGTACCAGGCGGTGATACAGCCCGACAGGATGCTCTCAACGGTGCATCTGTAAAAGTTTGTGAGGGTCTTAGGGGCCAAGCCCAATTTCTTAAGCCTCCTGAGGTTGAAGAGGCGCTGTTGTGCCATCTTCACCACACGGTCAGTGATGTGTACGCCGAGGAACTTTAAGCTTTTCACCTTTTCCATTGCGGCCCTGTCGATGTGGATGGGGGCGTGATCCATCTGCTATGTCCTGAAGTCCAAAATCAGCTCCTTCGTTTTGTTGACGTTGAGGGAGAGGTTATTTTCCTGGCACCACTCCGCCAGGGCCCCTCACCTCCTCCCTGTAGACGGTCTTGTCATTGTTGGGAATCAGGCCTACTACTGTTGTGTCGTTTGCAAAGTTGATGATTGAGTTGGAGGCGTGCGTGCACCCTTGTGGGGCCCCTGTGTTGAGGATCAGCATAGTGGAGGTGTTGTTTCTTACCTTCACCACCTGGGAGCGGCCCACCAGGAAGTCCAGGACCCAGTTGCACAGGGTGGGGTTCAGACCCAGGGCCCCGAGCTTAATGAGCTTGGAAGGTACTATGGTGTTGAAGGCTGAGCTGTAGTCAATGAACAGCATTCTTACATAGGTATTCCTCTTGTCCAGATGGGATAGGGCAGTGTATCTGTGGATCTATTAGGGCGGTATGCAAATTGAAGTGGGTCTAGGGTGTGTGGTAAGGTGGAGGTGAAATTATCCTTAACTAGCCTCAAAGCACTTCATGATGACAGAAGTGACTGCTACGGGGCGATAGTCATTTAGTTCAGTTACCTTTGCTTTCTTGGGTACAGGAACAATGGTGGACATCTTGAAGCAAGTGGGGACAGCAGACTGGGATAGGGAGAGATTGAATGTCCGTAAACACTCCAGCCAGCTGGTCTGCGCATGCTCTGATGACGCGACTAGGGATGCCGTCTGGGCCGGCAGCCTTGCGAGGGTTAACACGCTTAAATGTCTTACTTACACTACCGGTCAAGAGTTTTAGAACACCTACTCATTCAAGGGTTTTTCTTTATTTTTTACTATTTTCGAAATTGTAGAATAATAGTGAAGACATCAAAACTATGAAATAACACGTATGTATTAATCAAAAAAGTGTTAAACAAATCAAAATATATGTAATATTTGAGATTCGTCAAAGTAGCCACCCTTTGTCTTGATGACAGCTTTGCACACTCTTGGCATTCTCTCAACCAGTTTCATGAGGTAGTCACCTGGAATGCATTTCAATTAACAGGTGTGCCTTGTTAAAAGTTCATATGTGGAATTTCTTTCCTTCTTAATGCATT